GCTGTTGGCGGGAGCGGGGGGGATAGACACTAGGATCTAGAAACTTGTAAAAAGAAGAGGGATGAGGAGAGGATGTCCTTCGTGAAGCACTATCCGCGATGCCATAACTATCTTCCTCCTCCTCCTCCTCCTGTGTCTTGCGGTAGGCCAAGTTTGCAACCTTGATGATAAGTCCGCTCTGGAAAGTAAACACAACATTAGGACGACTCTTTACCGCCAAATTTTAGATAGATGATAATGGCGGATCGTGTCGTGAGAAAAAACACCAGAATGGGTTAAAATTCAATTAAAAAAAGGGAAATTATAGTAAAAAAAAACATAACATAAGTATACTTTAAAGGGATGATTTGAGTGTATTATGTATTAACGTTACGTGGTTAGTATATATTAGGTCAGGTTCACGTTGGATTATGCTATATTAAGTTATGTTAAAGATAGATTAAGTTAGGTTAAAGCTAGATTAAGTTAGGTTAGGTTAAAGTTAGATAAAGTTAGGTTAGGTTAAAGCTAGATTACATGAGCTTACCTTAGGACTATGTAAGGTTAGGTTAGGTTAAAGCTAGATTAAGTTAGGTTAGGTTGAAGTTAGATTAAGTTAGGTTAGATTAAAGCTAGATTACATGAGCTTACCTTAGGACTATGTAAGGTTAGGTTAGGTTAGGTTAACATTAGGGTATTTAATAATCAGGTGAAATAAGCTAGGGTGCCTAATCTTCAGGACAGAACCAATTACCGTAGGACAGCCTAAGCAAGATTAGTCAGAGCTCACCTTTAAGAGAGCCAGCCCGGTCCCTGCCAGTAGACCTCTCACACTACCAGCCACGAAGGGCGGATTAGCAAACTGGAAGAGACCATCACATACCGACCCAAACACAAGCGCTGCAGCGATAACGTAACTCACACGCATCTGAAACATCCGAGCATCTGAGTTACTGTCGTGGATATTAATTACGAAATAAGATAGAGTTTATAATACTATTGTAAGTAGTAAGTTTTTTTAAGCATTTTTGAACATATTAGACGTTGTTCACTCATGTGGAAGCATAATGGCATCACGAAAATTGTGACCAAGTCCCAGGTTGCTCATCCGACTTTGTGCCTCATTTACAACACAATTGCAGGGTCTCAAGTGTTTCTCTTACTATTGACAACACAACATACATATATTGTTTCTCATTCTTGATATTTTTTTATTTTTTGGTTCTTTATTGTTATCATTATTACAGTGTTATTATTGTTATTATTGTTATCATTATTATTTTTTTTAATTATACATTTTAAATACTATGAATTATTATTATTTCATTTTTAATTTTGTATTTGTATTATAAATTTTATTTACTATGATTTATTATTATTATTATTAATATTATTAATATTATTATTATTATTATTATTATTATTATTATTATTATTATTACTATTATTATTATTATTATTATTACAACATTTCGCCACCCAGGCCCCGCTGCGGGTCAGTGACCTGTGCCCGGGTTGGCTAATCCCCGTAAAAAAGTATAAGTAAAATAAATAAAATAAATAAATAAAAATTAGAACTATACTTCCAGTGTGTCTCAGAATTAGACTAAATTTATAATGAAAAAACAATATTAAACAGGCATAAAGGTCAAGTGTTGTAGGATCATGTTCACTATAGTTCAAAGGTCAAAGTCACTTTTTGAAAGGTCAAGGTCACTAGTTGAAAGGTCAAGGTCATTATAGTTGAAAGGTCAAGGTCACTAGTTGAAAGGTCAAGGTCATTATAGTTGAAAGGTCAAGGTCACTAGTTGAAAGGTCAAGGTCACTAAAGTTGAAAGGTTAAGGTCACTAGTTGAAAGGTCAAGGTCACTAGTTGAAAGGTCAAGGTCACCAGTTGAAAGGTCAAGGTCACTAAAGTTGAAAGGTCAAGGTCACAGATAGACAGACACACAGGTAGAGATGGATCATAAACTGAGAGAGACGGGAGAAAGTGAGAGAGAGAAAGAAAGAGAGAGAGAGAGACTAGGTGGGGTATTATCTCAATTATAATTCCACTAAACTTATTTTATCTTTCCATCATTATGACACAAAATGTTTACAATCACACACCTGCCTTACCTTATACGGTGATATGAGCAGCAAACTGGTCCTGTGTGTAGCAAGAACAGCAAACTGGTCCTGTGTGTAGCAAGAACAGCAAACTGGTCCTGTGTGTAGCAAGAACAGCAAACTGATCCTGGCTGTGTGTAGCAAGAACAGCAAACTGGTCCTGTGTGTAGCAAGAACAGCAAACTGGTCCTGGCGGTGTGTGTAGCAAGAACAGCAAACTGGTCCTGTGTGTAGCAAGAACAGCAAACTAGTCCTGGCTGTGTGTAGCAAGAACAGCAAACTGGTCCTGGCTGTGTGTAGCAAGAACAGCAAACTGGTCCTGGCGGTGTATGTAGCAAGAACAGCAAACCGGTCCTGGCCGTGTGTGTAGCGGGACAGCAGAAGAGCGGCCGTGTTGGCAGGACTTAGCTGTGGTCGAGTGATGTAGCCAGACAGGTTTAATCTATATATACAGCTCCCGGCCTTGTGACCCACAGACGCGGTAGAGGGAAAGCGGCAGTAGTATTAGTAGTGACAGCAGCCACAGCCCGCACCGATAGATATAAGAACAGCACCATCCCATCTATTGTTAAAATAATAAACAACTCCTGATTTATGTACTGTACAGCCCTGTAAATGTACTCAACGTATATCATTATGTCTAAATCACATGTAAGTTTGTATATTTTCAGCCACCGGCTGCAACTCTATTAATAAACCGTTTATTATTATTATTATTACTAATAGGAGCAGCGTGAATAGCAGAGCAGCCACAGCAGAATGATATGGATTTAACTGTTTCATTTAATGTCACATAATTATTTACTATTTTAAGTTTTGTCATTAAATATATCATGAGAGAGAGAGAGAGAGAGAGAGAGACATTCGTGTAGATACGTGTTATTGTGTATACGTGTTTGAGTGCATGTTAGTATTTATTTTGTGTTTGTGTATACGTATGTGACTTTGAGTGTGTATGGAGTTTTTTTTACATATCAGGATATTATTTCATAATTAGTAGTATTTTATTTAATATTCGTTATCAAAATACAGTCTTGAATATCAGTATTTAGATTCAGTTTTCTGTTGTATGTGCTGCGAGGGATAACTACTCTATTTTTAATTCCTCGTAGAAAGTGTCGCATCCATAGAGCATTATGTCCTCAATAGAGACAATAGGGACAGTTATGGTGGTGGTGGTGACAGTTGACTTCAGCGAACACTGCCCCCCACACACACTGTACAAGCCTCTATCTCGTAGCGTGGAAGCTCTGGGGTTAATTAACCATATCTAGGCACCAAGTTTCTTTTTTAGGTTGCAGGATTGAAAATAAACAATTCTAATATTATTGACTCAGTACATATAATCAGTTGAAATAATAGCATCTGAAGTGGTTACTGTCCCATAGGGATTATATTTCATATACATAGACAAAAAGTTACAAACGAATAGAACTTAAAGGTGAAGGACAACAAAACGAGAGAAAGAAGCGAAGAATGTGGATTATACAACATTCTTATAATGATATGTAAAATATGGTGAATTGTAGGTGATGATATTGTGTAAGATGATTGAATGATTAACATTATTAGAGGCTGAGGCTCGCACAGCTCCACGTCTGTCGCATAACATTACCCAGCTCCTCCTCCCCCAGGGGACACTGTGTCAACACATGGTCACACACGCCCTGCTCAGCCTCAGTGGCATTTTTGAAGGCGGTGTTGTAGGAGGACATGGTCTCCAGGTTGTCGGAGAACATTTGGAGGAGGACGGTTTCCTCTAGCGTACGAGCATCTACCTGTTTGTTGTTCAGGTGACACAGGAGCTTCAGTACACAGCCGTCAGTGTCCAGGTGAGTGGCGGCTGACAGCAACAGCTTCTCGCCCTGTTCAACCTCTTCCATCGCCTGCAAGATGGCTCGCTTCTGGCGGCGGTAGACGGGACCATCGTAAGAGCTGTAAGAGGACTTCCGAGAGCCGTAGAAAGGTGATCGGGGAGCAAAAGACCTCTTGGGGCTAGACTTTTTTTCCTTCCCGGAAAATTCTTTAACAAAGGCGAGGATGACGGCAGCCTGTAAGACAAAACCCTATTAGAATCCTCCCCCTTCTAACTGCACTACAGTATATGGTGATCAGGAAGTATGGAAGAATAGTGAAAATGATTTACTTAGAAAATTCTCAGCAACATTTATATAGTCTTGAACACTTGACTCGGGTAACAGTTTGTGTGTGTTCAAGTGAATCATAAGAGTAACCTCCCAAGTATGGAGACCTTCCTTCCCTAACTTACCTGGAGACTGAGGAGGGAAGCCACTGGTAATGCTCCGAGTGCTCCCGGGGCCACCAGAGGCAGACCAGCTACAGGAAGGATCGCTAAGGCATCACATGTGACCAATAACCCCAGCAACGCACACAACACCAGCAACACACGCATCTGCAACACAACACACCTCAGTTATCATGATACATACATAACTACAATATACTTTAGAAACCCAAGGATACATAATGTCGGTTATACATGATACATGATACTATTGATGATAATGAACCTTGGCGAGGGTTCAATGTACGCTAGTATAAGGTGAATTCCGGACCTCTTCCGTATGCATCTAGAGGAGTGGTCGGTTACACATCAAATCTTGTCACTTACTCAATATTTCTCATCTAATCAACAATTTATCAATGACCACAACTTAAACCCTAACACCTGTAAACTCTACACGCAAATCACCTTAAATTAACAAATACACAAATCAAAATACATTAAGAAAACAAAGACATAAAGTTCTGACACTTCGAGATTCTCTTTTGTTTTCAAGACGGGATGAATCGAGACATGCCAACTAATCTTTACGTGTGGTCGCTTACCCCTCGAGATGACACACACACCCAACGGGCTTTCTCTCATTACGTTCACAACTCAGGGACCGGTGATGACGCGTTCTGTTTCTACTGATTCTCTTAGCTAGTGGTGTAAGCTATATTAGTGCTAGCCAGTGGTGTAAGCTATATTAGTGCTCCTAGCTAGTGGTGTAAGCTATATTAGTGCTCCTAGCCAGTGGTGTAAGCTATATTATTGCTCCTAGCTAGTGGTGTAAGCTATATTAGTGCTCCAAGCCAGTGGTGTAAGCTATTGAAGTGCTCTTAGCGAATGTTGTAAGCTATTTTAGTGCTCCTAGCTAGTTTTGCAAGCTTTTTAGTGCGCTTAGCCAGTGCTGTGAGCTATTTTAATGCTCCTAGCCAGTGTTTTAAGTTATTTTAGTGCTCCAAGCCAGTGCTGTGAGCTATTTTAATGCTCCTAGCCAGTGTTTTAAGTTATTTTAGTGCTCCTAGCTAGTGTTTTAAGCTATTTTAATGCTTCTAGCCAGTGTTTTAAGTTATTTTAGTGCTCCTAGCCTGTGCTGTGAGCTATTTTAATGCTTCTAGCCAGTGTTTTAAGTTATTTTAGTGCTCCTAGCCAGTGCTGTGAGCTATTTTAATGCTCCTAGCCAGTGTTTTAAGTTATTTTAGTGCTCCTAGCTAGTGTTTTAAGCTATTTTAATGCTTCTAGCCAGTGTTTTAAGTTATTTTAGTGCTCCTAGCCAGTGCTGTGAGCTATTTTAATGCTCTAGCCAGTGTTTTAAGTTATTTTAGTGCTCCTAGCCAGTGCTGTGAGCTATTTTAATGCTCCTAGCCAGTGTTTTAAGTTATTTTAGTGCTCCTAGCCAGTGCTGTGAGCTATTTTAATGCTCCTAGCCAGTGTTTTAAGTTATTTTAGTGCTCCTAGCCAGTGCTGTGAGCTATTTTAATGCTCCTAGCCAGTGTTTTAAGTTATTTTAGTGCTCCTAGCCAGTGCTGTGAGCTATTTTAATGCAGTGTTTTAAGTTATTTTAGTGCTCTAGCTAGTGTTTTAAGCTATTTTAATGCTTCTAGCCACTGTTTTAAGTTATTTTAGTGCTCCTAGCCAGTGCTGTGAGCTATTTTAATGCTCCTAGCCAGTGTTTTAAGCTATTTTAGTGCTCCTAGCCAAGCTATTTTAATGCTTCTAGCCCTTTTAAGTTATTTTAGTGCTCCCCAGTGCTGTGAGCTATTTTAATGCTCCTAGCCAGTGTTTTAAGTTATTTTAGTGCTCCTAGCCAGTGCTGTGAGCTATTTTAATGCTCCTAGCCAGTGTTTTAAGTTATTTTAGTGCTCCTAGCCAGTGCTGTGAGCTATTTTAATGCTTCTAGCCAGTGTTTTAAGTTATTTTAGTGCTCCTAGCCAGTGCTGTGAGCTATTTTAATGCTTCTAGCCAGTGTTTTAAGCTATTTTAGTGCTCCTAGCCAGTGCTGTGAGCTATTTTAATGCTCCTAGCCAGTGTTTTAAGCTATTTTAGTGCTCCTAACTAGTGGGGTAAGCTATTTTAAAGCTCCTAACTAGCGTTGTGACCCAATCAGATGCTCCTAGAGATAATGATTTTACTAAAAATTAATAAATATATAAATAAATAATAATAATAATAATAATAATAAATTCAATGTAGTGTTACGTTCACACACACACACACACACACACACACACACACACACACTACTATATTTGTATAGTAGCGTATTGTATTATTTTAAACTGTGATTTACTGTAGGTTTATTGTATTACCTTCCGCTGTATTCTGTTGTATTTTTGTATTTTAATTTATTGTGTTGTTGTAAATAACTCTGTATTCTAATTCGTTGTGTCGTGTCGTGTCGTGTCGTGTTGTGTCGTGTCGTGTCGTGTAGAGGACTCCTTACCTTGACCTATGGTGGAGGAGGAGGAAGAAAGGGAGGAGGAGGAGGAGGAACGGGTGGAGGAGGAGGAAGAAAGGGAGGAGGAGGAGGAGGAAAGGGAAGAGGAGGAGGAGGAAAGGGAAGAATTTGTGTGTGTATGTATGAGAGAACGTATGGGTGAGGAGAAAGAGAGAGAGACAGAGAGAAGAGAGAGAGAGAGAGAGAGAGAGTGTCAAGCTATGCGTTGAGGTGGTGTTGAATCTTGAGGTAGGTGGGTGGAATGGGTGGGTGAGTAGGCGTTGAAAAGGTTGTCTTGAAGCGTGGGTGGGTGGTAGATGGGTGGGTAGGCGTTGGAAAGGTTGTCTTGAAGCGTGGGTGGGTGGTAGATGGGTGGGTAGGCGTTGGAAAGGTTGTCTTGAAGCGTGGGTGGGTGGTAGATGGGTGGGTAGGCGTTGGAAAGGTTGTCTTGAAGCGTGGGTGGGTGGTAGATGGGTGGGTAGGCGTTGAAGAGGGTGTCCTGAAGATGGGGTTGTGTTGGACTAGCTCCGTCATGCCCACTATATATACACTACCCACCCGCCTTGCCCTGTCGCCTCCCCACGGACAGACCACGAGGGAAAGCAGTACTACCATGGAGTTCCTTCCGGCTCTCTCTTGATGTCGTATGGGCTACCTGCTTCTCTACCTGACCGGGTTAAAGCGACCCCATACCCTCACCTGAATGAGCGTCGAAACTCTCACCTGCCCGATTATAGACGTCTGAACTCTCATGTGACTGGTTATAAGCGTCTAAACTCTCACCCGATTGGCTATACCCTTCTAAGCTCTCACCCGATTGGCTATTGGTGTTTAAACTCTCACCTGCCCGATTATAGACGTCTGAACTCTCATGTGACTGGTTATAAGCGTCTAATCTCTCACCCGATTGGCTATACGCTTCTAAACTCTCACCTGATTGGCTATAAACGTCTAAACTCTCACATTGCCCGAATATAAACGTCTCAACTCTCACCTGATTGGCTATAAACGTCTAAACTCTCACCTGATTGGCTATAAGCGATTAAACCCTCACCTCACCAACTAATAGCGTATTCTGAGATGTTGTTTTGTTTTTGCCAGAGAGTGCAGCGACACCGGGAGTGTTATTATATATTTGTGTTTATTACCATTCTTCCTTTCATTCTCTCTCCATGGGATAAAGAAAGACAATAAACTGGATAAAAAAATATGGGGTAAGTAGGTCGGGAGGTAAGGTAGGTAGGTAGGAAAGTAAGTAAGTAGGAAAGTAAGTAGATAGGTTGGTAACATGTTACTCAAATCCTGTATAAACGCCATGAAAATACCAAAACAAAAAAACAAATGACAAACGTGGTATGTAATCCTCTTATTTTTCCTTCTTATGGTGTTCAATGTCACTAAACCAGCATTACTAGAGGTAGATTATAGCAGTTATAGATTCAGAACTCTAGCTGAATAATTGTTGATACTTCTGAAGTAATTATAGATTAAAGAGAGTTAGAAGAGAGTAATTATATGCGAAGACTCTATCCCGTGCCAAAAATCTTCCTCCATCTTGCTTATTCCTCTGTGTATCTTATCTAACCTATCCTCCTATCCTCCTATCCTCCTCTACTTCTCCTTCCAGGTTGCTTTATCACCTTATCTATCCATCTTCTCTTCTTTCTCTTCACCTCCATCTTCTCTCGCTCTTACTTGGCGATTTTACGGTTCAGATTTGGTTGATATGAAAGGGAAGGGTGTCAAAGGGAGGTTGTCAAGGGGAGGTTGTCAAGGGGAAGGAGGTTGTCAAGGGGGAGGTTGTCAAGGGGGAAGTTGTCAAGGGGGAGGTTGTCAAGAGGGAGGTTGTCAAGGGGGAGGTTGTCAAGAGGGAGGTTAAAGGAGGCGGTCAAGGGGGAGGAGGGGTGTCAAGGGGGTTGTCAAGGGAGGTTGTCAAGGGGGGAGGAGGGTTGTCAAGGGGAGGTTGTCAAGGGGGAGGTTGTCAAGAGGGAGGTTGTCAAAGGGAGGTTGTCAAGGGGAGGAGGGTTGTCAAGGGGAGGTTGTTAAGGGGAGGTTATCAAGGGGAGATTATCAAGGGGAGGAGGTTGTCAAGGGGGAAGGTTGCCAAGGGGGAGGTTGTCAAGGGGAGGTCAAGGGAGGCTGTCAAGGGGAGATTATCAAGGGAGGAGGTTATCAAGGGGAGTGTTAAGGGGGAGGCTGTCAAGGGGGAGCAAGTGTTGTTAAGGGAGGTTATCAAGGGGAGATTATCAAGGGGAGGAGGTTGTCAAGGTAGCTGTCAAGGGAGGCTTGTCAAGGGAGGTTGTCAAGGGAGCTGTCTGTCAAGGGGAGATTATCAAGGAGGAGGTTATCAAGGAGGTTGAGGTTAAGGGGAGGTTGTCAAGGGGGAAGGTCAAGGGGAGGAGGTTGTCAAGGGAGGTTGTCAAGGGGAGGAGGAGTTATCAAGGGGGAGGGAGGGGGAGATTATCAAGGGGGAGATTATCAAGGGGGATATCATCAAGGGGGAGATTATCAAGGGGGAGATTATCAAGGGGGAGATTATCAAGGGGGAGATTATCAAGGGGGATATCATCAAGGGGGAGATTATCAAGGGGGAGATTATCAAGGGGGAGAGTTCCAAGGGTCATTTTATATCGAGTCACCCTAACACACATTCCCTCCTCATACATAATCTACGTTCTCAACCTCTCGTGACGTAGATACAGTTACAGCACAGTCACCCTCCTGAAAGTTATCGACGTGCTCTGCTCTCTGTAATGGTACTGTAATTCTTGTATTTGTTTCTGTAATTGTACCTGTCCTTGTATCTGGGGTTGTAATGGTACTGTAATTGCTGTACTTGTTTCTGTAATTGTACTAGTTCATATCACTGTAATTTTATGTACCTCTGTTGTTGTTTCTGTATTCGTATATGTAACTTTATTTGTACTTAATTTTACTGCTCTTGTAATTAACTGTACCTGTATTAATATTTATGTACCTGTAATTATACCTCTATTTTAGTTTCTGTATCTACATATGTAATTTTTCCTGTATCTTTGCTGTACTTGTAGTTGTTTTCAAGAGTTTGACCCCTTGAGTATGATCATTTAAACCCTTGAGTATGATGATTTATGTGTCTGTCTGTCTGTCTGTTTGTCTGTCTGTCTGTCTGTCTGTCTGTCCGTCTATCTGTCTGTCTGTCATTCTGCCTGTCTATCAATTTGTCTGTCTCTCTGTCGAGGATGGTGCCGAAGCTTCTCACCAAATGTACAGATGAGGTCGTGGTGATGGTCAGAGAGAGACGAGAGGGTCAGTGCGTTGAGCGCTTCTTGATATGTGGAGTAGGAAGGGGAGAGAACAATCTTGCATGCCCTCTTTTGCACTTTTTCTAGGTGTTTACGTTGTGTGGCATTTAGGGAGGAAGACCAGGTAGGGGAGGCATAGGTGAGCTTGGGAAGTATGAATGTTGAGTAAACACTGAGGAGCTCGGGTGCAGGAACTCCGAGAGACTTGACTCGGCGAAGGAGGTGGAGACGGAAACTGGAGGATTTGACAACTTCACTGACGTGTGGTTTCCAATTTAGTTTATGTATAGTGACGCCGAGGAGCTTAGTGTAATCTACAACCTGGAGTGTGTTGGGGCCTAAAGTAATGGAGGGAGGCGGGACAAGGTCAGAGGAGAGGTTGATGTACATAACCATGGTCTTGTTATGGTTGATGGTGACGTGGTTGTTGGTGGCCCAGTTTTGGAGACTGTTCAATGTATTCTGGAGGGCGGTGTAGTCGGAAGCCGAGTTGTTAACATTGATCCCGATAGTGGAGTCGTCGACATATTTACAGCGAGCGGGAGTTTCTCTCAGGGCATCATTGATAAGCATGAGGAAGCAGAGCGGTCCCATCTTGGTGCCTTGGGGGACGACTTGGCGTTAGTCACTAAGGAAGTCTGTAAGTCATGGTATAAGACTTCTCTGAAACGCCGAGGTTAAGAGCTTTGGTGAAGTTAGTGAAGCCGACAGCCAAAGACGTCTTTCGTTTCTCCAGATGTCTGTATATGTAGTTGAGAAAGCTGACAAAACAGTGAGTGGTGGAGGTAAGTTTTCATATTGCCAAATTGCTGAGGATCTATGGCGCCTGCAATAACAGCATAAGCCCAGTCAAACACGAAACTTTCACAGATTAAGCTGGGTATTGGGGTGATGGCAATGGGTCGTAGCTCATTTAAGGATTATGGGCTGGTTGACTTGGGCACTGGTGACACATGAAGTTTTCTAGTCAGCTGGGCATCTTGCTTGGCTGAGGGAAGCATTGATGATGGAGCAGAGGTGTGTGTGTGTGTGTGTGTGTGTGTGTGTGTGTGTAATAATAATAATAATAATGATAAACGGTTCATTAATAGAGTTGCAGCCGGTGGCTGAAAATATACAGACTTACATTTGATTTAGACATGATGATATAATATGCGTTGAATACATTTACAGGGCTGTACAGTACATAAACCAGGAGTTGTTTATTATTTTAACAATAGATGGGATGGTGCTATTCTTATATCTATCGGTGCGGGCTCTTATGGGCTGAATTTTGTTGTAGTGGCGGACTGCGCGAGGTGGGTGGGGGGCTGCCGGTGGCAGGGGGTGGCGATGACGAGGGTGGTGCATTATTTGGCTGCCAAACCTTTCCAGTGCTTGGTGGTGGAGGTCACTGAGGGATGGCATTTTCAGGGTGGAGAGAGCGTTGATGTAGCCGGAGTGTGTGAGAGTGTGTATGTGTATGTATGTGTGTGTATGTGTGTGTGTATGTGTGTACGCATATGTGTACTATTAAATGTGACCTGTAGTGTAATGGTCATCATGCTCGCCTCGGAAGCGAGTGGACCCGGGTTTGATCCTCGGGCAGGGTGAAAGTATGGGCAAGTTTCTTTACGCCATTTGCCTGTCTACTCAGCAGTAATTGGGGACCTGGATGTTAATTGAATTACGGATCGTATTCCGGGGTAATGGTCAGCCAGTGCAGTTGGCGAGTTGTCCAGTCTTCTCGGACTATTCCTTGACACTGGGTCATGCAACTCGTTAACGTAGGGTGTAGTTGTTGTATTGGCGACAGCTTCTACACCTTAAACAAATTCACACCGAGATGGCCCGGCAATAATCATCATCATCATCATCATCATCATCATCATCATCATCATCATTATTATTATTATTATTATTATTATTATTATTATCATTATTATTATTATTATTATTATTATTATTATTATTATTATTATTATTATTATTATTATTATTATTATTATTATTATTATTATTATTATTATTATTATTATTATTATTATTATTATTATTATTATTATTATTATTATTATCATTATTATTATATTATTATTATTATTATTATTATCATTATTATTATTATTATTATTATCATTATTATTATTATTATTATTATTATTATTATTATTATTATTATTATTATTATTATTATTATTATTATTATTATTATTATTATTATTATTATTATTATCATTATTATTATTATTATTATTATTATTATCATTATTATTATTATTATTATTATCATTATTATTATTATTATTATCATTATTATTATTATTATTATTATTATTATTATTATTATTATTATTATTATTATCATTATTATTATTATTATTATCATTATTATTATTATTATTATTATTATTATTATTATTATTATTATTATTATTATTATTATTATTATTATTACAGTGTACATTACTATATAAGTTCACCTACAAACATACACACATAAACCAGAATACACCTAATACACATACATCATACACATTATATACATATCTCCACTCAGATGTATATAAAACCAAACAAGTAATAGTTTATTGTTTAATAACTTCAACAAACAAAACAAGTAAACAATCAACACAATCATTTACATATCACACTATAAATACAACACAAATAAACACTAGATTGGTTGTATTATTGTATTGCATTACTGTATTAATTTCTATACACCTGAAGACGAATATACATAACAAATACATAACAAATAAACATACTTAAATCTACACAACAAAAACAATGACTTAATCAACTGATATACATAAACACGCAGGCACAAATATACCTAAACAAAGACATTTAATACGACTTTTTGTATTTATTCTGGTTTAATAATACAATAACCTCAAGATAAAAACAATTGGTTATTTTAAGGTGAATTCGTTGTTTTATGTAATTTCTCCTTCGTTTTGTAATGTCATATAATTTTAGAGGTTCAGGTTACAGGTTTAGATTACAGGAAAGATTGACTGTAGTAATAATGATTTGTAGGGATTTTGTATTTTGGGGTCGTACACACACACACACACACACACACACACACACACACACACACACACACACACACACACACACACGACAACCTCTATATATGGACTCGTTCTTTATGATATGAATTAATTCGAGGTTAGAATCTGAAGGGGGGTGGAAGACAGACAGAGAGACAGACAGATAAACAGACAGACAGACAGACAGAGAGAGAGAGAGAGAAGTCAGAATCAAGTGTTGTTAAGTGGTAGACGGTGAGAGTAGTGGTGTAGTGGGTCAGTAACCTCATGTTAATACTCCTCTACATTACTGACTACAAAACCACATTCCCACATCCCCAGGACTGCCCCAGGAGACCACTCATTTGTTCCTCCCCCAGGGGACACTTGGGGAATAACTTGTCACATATGGAGAGGTCTTGGGTCTGGTCGACGTCCCTGGCCTCCTGGAGAATGGATCTATAGGAGGACAAGGTCTCCGGGTTGTTGGAGAACATTTGGAGGAGGACGGTTTCCTCTAGCGTAAGAGCATCTACCTGTTTGTTGTTCAGGTGACACAGGAGCTTTGGCACACAGCCGTCAGTGTCCAGGTGAGTGGCGGCTGACAGCAACAGCTTCTCCGCTTCCTTCACCTCTTTCATCATCACAGAATCCACTCGTTCTATCGCCTCCTTGATGGCTCGCTTCTGGCGCCTGTGAACGGGGTGGTCGTACACGTAGGCGGGAGGTCCAGGGTATCGCCTTTCCTCCGCCTCTTCTTCATAAGACTTTTCTAATAAGTCTTTATAGGTCGCCAGAAACCCAGCAATGATGGCGACCTGCGTGATAAGAACGAGCTTTATTATCATCTGTGTGTGTGTGTGTGTGGGTGTGTGTGTGTGTGTGTGTGTGTGTGTGTGTGTGTGTGTGTGTGTGTGTGTGTGTGTGTGTGTGTGTGTGTGTGTGTGTGTTGTAGGTTACGTTTAGTTACGTTAGGTTACACGATTTTTTGTCTAAATATCTGTGAGTCAAATCATTAAAATACAGTAACATACCACGAACAAAATCACTTATCACTTAACCTAACCTAACCTAACCTAACCCAACCCAACCTAACCTAACCTAACCTAACCTAACCTAACCTAACCTAACCCAACCCACCAACCGCTTCTTACCTTAACGAGCGTGAGACCTGTTGCGGATAAGACGGTAGTAAGTCCCGCAATCGGTAGTCCTCCCGGTAATAATCCCGGTAGAATAGCCGGTAAGAGTCCCGCTAGACCGGCAAGATCAGGCAGCTGTATCGTGAGTGGTAATTGTGCCGGGAATGGTAATTGTACCGGGAATGGTAATTGTGCCGGGAATGGTAATTGTGCTGGGAATGGTAATTTTACCGGGAATGGTAATTGTGCCGGGAATGGTAATTGTGCCGGGAATGGTAATTGTGGTACTAAGGCCTCATTGGCGGCCACCAGTCCCATTAGCACAGCTATTAGCCACCTGAGACGCATCTGGAGAGGAAGAAATTAAAATACTTTGTTTATTCATCCATGACGTGTGTTAGGTTAGGTTAGGTTAGATTAGGTTAGGTTAGGTTAGATTAGGTTAGGTTAATTAATCATCAGGTGGAATAAGCTAGGGTGTCTAATCTTCAGGTAGTTCTCAAATATTCCACAAATGAGGACAATTTTACCGATATGATACAAACATTCACTCGGTCACCACGCAAATCTAGGTAGTGTGTGTACATTTTGAGACACCCTGGACTACTGAGACACCCTGACGTCGTGGCAGATTTTCCTCAGTAGATTTGCTGTTAGGTCCCTTACTTCGTCATGCCTCATGCATACGAAGCCCCCTTTCTTGCACACCATGGCGTGGTCCATGTCATAAGATAAGCCACACATGCAGTGGGAGGGCAAACCTTCTACTGACCTACCATACCTTAGGGCAATGGCATCTGTGAATTCTTGTTTATTAAGGATGAAGCCTTTTGCCCTTATCGGCATCGTTCGAGGCGCCCACCTCCTGCACTATAGCTACTTTTTTCACGTTCTCTGGCAATTGTTGCAACAGTTGTTGCAGTTTATCACTTTGGGTGTGCTGCCGCTCTGTCATAATGGACCCTCGAATCTTGTTTAATTCGTTGGTGTCCACCTGACTTGCTGCATTCTGAGCTATTATGTGCTCAGTGAGGGCTGCCGTGAGCTTGACTGAGTTCTGATGTTCTGTACGGGCAGCTCCACTGGATTATTCAATCCCATTCCTCCCTGTCTCGGTGGTAGTGCAAGGGGTGACCTTTCTGCTGGGGTTAAGTGAGGGTGTTTCACTAGTTTTTGGATAAAAGCAACATTCATGGCTTCTTCCAGAGGGTGGAGGAGGGGTCCGATATCAGGGATAGTACGCCTCAGGTAGTTCCAGCGATGGTTGACTCCATGGGTGAATGCCGCAAAAGCCGCATGTGGCTCTGTGTTAGCAATATCAGACAGAGCTTGGATTTCCCTAACCCACTCATTCACCTTTCCCGTTATGTACTCGGTCTTGAATTCCTCCGTACCCATTACCGCACCTAGGTGTCTTTGGCCATCCTTTGTTATTTTGACTTCACTTCCACCGAACACCTCCATTGGCCGTTCATAATGTTCTGGTTTCACAATGAGGAAGGACTTGCTGGCGTTTGGGTGGTACCGTATTTGTGGGCCTCGTGATGTTACCAAGTCCCACCACTTTTTGATGTCCTCCACTTTTCCTGCTCCTGTAAGGTCATCAGCGTACGCCACTTGCTTGACCTCGGTTGTTTCATATTTTATTGTATGTTGAGGCACGGACAGACCTAGTGCGTACATTGCCATGGCGACAGGGTGCCCCTTCGTTGTTCCCTCAGTTGACTGTATGATGGTATCACCTCTTAGGGCCTTGAAGCTTGTTATATAGAGGTCTGATGGGTTCCTATAAGGTGTTTTCAACATACATTGCAAAGTTTGGACACTTGATCTTGATGTTGTGCAGTGTAGCTTTGCGGTTAAGTATGTTGAATGTGTTGGAAGCTTCGACCAGAAGTACTGCCTCACAATCACGATGCTCAAATAACGTTCTAATGGCGTGAATGGCAGCTTCCCCTCCAGCCTGGTGGCCAGCACACACCTGCAGGTTCCCTGCTGCTGCCCTGACATCCTTTACCACCTCCGTTATGCATTTTCCGATGATCCGCCTCAGCACTTCCCCCACTCCTATAGGCCTACATCCTGGATTCTTATCCAGGGGAATGAGGCGGCAGGCCGTCAGAGCATGGAGGTGTTGGCAGCACGAGGATGCCAGCTTTCTTGCAAGGACGGCAATGGCCGTGCAGAGATCACTTGCTACGGGGCCAAACTTGTTAGTGCTGAGGATGACTCTCCAACCGTTTGCTTCCAGACCTGAAGGGCCGGCCCCTCCCTGAGTCTTCAGTGCCTTTTTCCACACCATCCCTTCTGTTATTTTCTCGAACAGGACAGCATTTGGTGGGATATAGTCACCCTTGAACCTGATGCCTTCGTCTTCACGTGCGGGGGGATGTTTTTCCTTCAGTTGTTTTAATGTCTCTCTGTTTATTGGCATCACCCCACCGGAGGATTCCTCTGTGAGAGATCTTACCGTCAGAGACACTTTTCCCACACGCATCTTGTTTCCAGACTTTCTGGCAACGTCATCGGTGTTTTGCTTTCCGTCTCCTATAAATTTTAGTCTCTCCTGTAGTGTTCTTGCTTCACATAGGAGATCATCAAGGGCCCCAGTCTGCCTCAATGTCAATCTCCTTTTATTTACTGCCACGTGTTCTTTGCACTTAAACCTTGCGTGTGTCCTCTGACAGAATAGATGGGGTATTATGGCCAGTAGTTGAAGAGTTAATGGGGCCAGGGGGCTGTCATGATTGTAATTGATTATGAGGCGAGTCATCTCCCGAATCATTTCTTTGGTGGCCGCACACTTGGGTGGTTCAAAGAGGTTAGCTGGCGACCACCTGACCACTTTTGAGTGCACTTCTTTGACCCATTTCACCTCATCGTCCCCCAACAAGCCTTTCCAATTTGTTGACTGTGTGTCATTCGCCTCATGAACGACATTTTCCGACTGAGTGGGTTCACTACTATCGTCTGACATGTCGTCATCAGGTGATGGATCTCTGCCGTAGGGATTTTGACAGCTGGTCCCTTTCCCACAACCAATACATCGTGTGTTACTTCTCACACATATACAGGTTGTGCATTTCTGATTCCGGCCTGAGCACTGACAAACACATTTCCCAGCCATGATGTCGTCCTGGGAAGAAGAGGGCAGTGAGAGAGGTAGGAAGTTGTGGTTGGGAGGGGAGGAGGGGCAGGTCAGGTTTGGTGTACTGACCCACGAGGCGGGGCGGGGCGGGGCGGGGCAGGGCCAGGGCAGAGCACGGCTGGACACAGAGCGACCAGGACCGTTACCACCCATGACCAGCTCGGGCTACACGCCAAGGCCTCCGTGGCACTGGCCTGCTACACAGTCCCCGGCTCTCCAATAACTATCACCATCATCCACTCAGGAGGCCAACAGGTGGATGACACTGTGATCACTTGACGCACTACACATTCACAAGTAATAATTCCAGAAGCTCTGACTGGTTGTCCCTCATAAGACCCCGTTTTTATTTTTACGAAAAACCGTCCCATACAGAAGAAGAACTAGTTCTTATGAGGAAAGGGTGGAGAGGTGACAGGCTGGACTGCTGTGTCCGGGTAGTAGGGTCATACGTGCGCGCATGGGTGTGTAGGCCACCCCTAAGGGCTACAATCCACACATCAGAGTGATCCACTGGGAGCAAGAATTGTCACATCAAACACTTGTTTACATATCCATGGCAGGAATACTCACTATTTCTATGGTCGCACTGATGTAAGATTAGTTACATATACTCACTTGGTCGGCCGACACTACATGAAGTGTCCGTTACTTGTGGGAGACGACCGCAAGCATAGAACACTTAGCCTTCTGTCACTGACCATAGGGGCGAGAGTCTCGATGCCACCCCCGTCAAAGTAGGCCTATCGTCACTGGCACTGGCACCTGTACCAGCCTCCAGCCAAGCACTCACAACCCGGTTGGTGATCGCCGGTGAACACACGGACTATTTGCGATTAATGCCGTAAGGGATGAGAAGAACCTTGGGTGACACACTGTGAGATTCTCGCTCCCACACTCCGAATATGTCCCCTCCAATAACACTTTAGATCAGGGAGGACACTACACCACACCCACGCCGCGCTGGCCGGCTACTACTACTACTACTACTACTCCAGCCTCCCCCAATAGCCACACCTTCGCCACCATTTATTTACCTTAATATTAAATATCCTAATACATAAGAAACTATCCTAACTGTGTTAAATTAGTTGAGCCGCAGATCTATGCGGCATTCAGTGACTGTAGCCTCATAGTCAATATCTGCAGCAGTTGTCGGAGTAGGGGCAGAAGCTCTCGTTTCCCTGAGGCAGAGCAAAGCCGACCGAAGGAGAGAAGGACAGTCGACATCTCATCCAGGCTGTACTACTACTACTACTACTACTACTACTTTGCTGTCACTCGGAATCGAGCATGACGATTATCCAGCTATGATAGAATGATATGAGTTATTAGAGATGTCACCTAGGTTGGCAAGTTCTGAGGTGACTAAAGAGGCCGATACGGGACCGGCAACGTCGCTCACAGATGTTGCACGTGTGGAGGGCTACATCTAGTGTGGGAGGGGCGGCGGTAGCGTCTTTCCGGCGATGGCGCTTGTCTGCCTCGGTTTGCAGTCGGGCCAACTCGAAAGTATTGACACCTTCTCGTGTGGTGCTCCTCCAAGCGTTACTGTGTGGAGTAATCGTCTCCCAGGTGAGGGGGTCGATTTGGCACTTTTTCAGGTTTGTCTTAAGATTATCCTTATACCTTTTCAGTTGCCTGTCAGCGTTACGTTTACTATTCAGTAGGTGACTGTAAAGTAGCTGGTTTGGCAGTCTACTGTCGTCCATGCGGGTAACATGGTCAGTCCAACGTAGTTGTTCATAGATAATGGTAGCCTCGATGCTTCTACAGTTGGTTTCAACAAGAATACTGGCATTTGTTCTCTTGTCTTCCCAGCGAACTCGGAGGATGGAACGTATAGACTACGTTGGAGAATGTTTTCAAGTGCCTTGAGGTGCCTCCTGTATGTGACCCATGTCTCGCTGCCATAGAGCAGAGTAGGGAGGACCACTGCATGATATATATGCAACTTTGTAAATAATTTCAACACCCTACAGCTGAAGACATGGGTACTGAGTCTGCCAAAGGCTTGAGATGCACATCTGATTCGATGTTGATACACACACACACCTCGGCTTTCTCCCGGTAATGTAAGCCTTCATCTGCATGGGAGAGCGCTCGGGCCTCCTCACATGACGCGGCCTGAGAGACTAGAAAGCCAGTCTGGTGAAAGCTGTCCTTATCCTCCTACGGAATGTAATAAGGACATTGACCTCCTCCCTGCATCTAGCGTGTTCTTGTTTTTTTATTCTATTGGTTGGATAGCCTCTGTGACGTATTCATGACGTACATTTAATTCTATTGGTTGGATATCTTGTGACGTACTTATGACGTATGTTTGATTCTGTTGACTGAACACCCTATGTGACGTACTGTACTTATGACGTGTCTTTGATGCTATTGGCTGAACCTCCTCTGTGACATACTGTACTTATGACGTGTCTTTGATGCTATTGGCTGAACCTCCTCTGTGACATACTGTACTTATGACGTGTCTTTGATTCTATTGGCTGAACCTCCTCTGTGACATACTGTACTTATGACGTGTCTTTGATGCTATTGGCTGAACCTCCTCTGTGACATACTGTACTTATGACGTGTCTTTGATTCTATTGGCTGGACATCCTCTGTGACATACTGTACTTATGACGTGTCTTTGATGCCATTGGCTGAACCTCCTCTGTGACGCATTCAAGACGTGTCTTTGATTTCATTGGCTGTATGCATCCCGTTATCTTAATACATACACCTGAAGAAAATTCATAACAATAAAACAGATTCCGTATAGCCAATATAACGACGACACTTTGAATACGTCACAGATCATCATTAACCAATAGGAGCAAAGATATAAGCCTGATGTCCTGAACTCCTTATCAAGATTCACAATACTGTAGTTAAACGGTGAATATTTCTCGGAACGGAAGAACAAAAAATATTCCTCTCAAGTTACAGAAATAAGCTACGGGTATTCAGAAGATCCGACTTTCACTTGACCAGATTACACAAAATATATATAAAAACTATCTCAAAAATCTGACCTTTGTTTACGTGTTATTAAATTCAAGCGGGAAAATAATATTCTTATAAAATATTAACTCCGGTATTTTTTAGTGATAAATTATAACAAAAATATTAACTTAAATTATAATATTCCTGTTTACTCAATACGTATTTAGGATGTTGTGACGCGTGGGAAATGTTCTGGTTAGATTAGGTTAGATTAGGTTAGGTTAGGTTAGGTTAGGTTAGGTTAGGTTAGGTTAGGTTAGGTTAGGTTAGATTAGGTTAGGTTAGGTTAGGTTAGGTTAGGTTAGGTTAGGTTAGGTTAGGTTAGGTTAGATTAGGTTAGATTAGGTTAGGTTAGGTTAGGATAGGTTAGATTAGGTTAGGTTAGGTTAGATTAGGTTACGTTAGGTTAGGTTACGTTAGGTTACGTTAGGTTAGGTTGGATTAGGTTAGGTTAGGTTAGGTTAGGTTAGATTAGGTTAGGTTAGGTTAGGTTAGGTTAGGTTAGGTTAGGTTAGATTAGGTTAGGTTAGGTTAGAACATCAGTATGGCAACAACCCCCCCCCCCTACGCGAGAGCATTGGGACGTCGCTGTGTTGTTATTGACTGGAAGAGAAAGTTTGTTATTGAACGGAAAGAAGTTAATTTCGATTCTGTCTTACAAGTTATGGTAAAAAGAGGTGTGTGGAGCCTTACCTTCGTGTGTGTCGTAGAAAAACAGCTTATATTTAATAAAAATCAACAGACAATATCCCTCATTCTTACTAATAAAGTGACTAATAGTAACCTTACCTTGCATGTATGTATTGTGTACGTGTGATGTGTCTGTGTGTGCGTATGTGTGGCCGGTGAGCGCTGGACGGGGTGTGGACGGGTGGCAGAGCTGGACGGGTTGTGGACGGGTGGCAGAGCTGGACGGGTTGTGGACGGGTGGCAGAGCTGGACGGGTTGTGGACGGGTGGCAGAGGCTTCACTATATATACCTCACCAGGGCAGCAGCCACCAGCACCGCCTTGGAATAAATAATAGAATGTACGTGATTCCTTAACCTCATACCAGTCAAGACCAACATGTGAGTATTTGTGTATTTCCCATATACCTGTTGAAGGGTTCAGGGATTCGGGGGTTCAGTGGCTCGAAGGATTCATTTGGGATAAGAGTAGATACAGCTTAGTGCATAAGGACCCAGGATAGCTGGGATCGAACCAGTGACCTTCAGGACAGGAGACGAGTGTTCTGACCACTTGGACACAACACCATCAGAAGTGCTATAAGTAAATAATTAGTATAAGTAATTATTACTCTTTTGAATTATCATTAACTTGAAATAATTTGCACTGGGAAAATACACACACACGCACACACACACACACACACACACACACACACACACACACACACACACACATTCCACTATATAATTCGTTTAGATAATTCTTCCCTTGAAATTATTAATCATTGAATTATTAATAACTTGTAATAACTACATATTAAGTTCAGGTTACTTTATTATTATTATGCTGTCTGTCTGTCTGTCTGTCTGTCTGTCTGTCGATATGTATATATGCTTGTGTATGACTGTATGTGTAAAGACGTGTCAATATGTGTATTTAATATATTTGTGTGACTGTGAATGCTCGTGTGTACATGCCTATCTATGTGTGTGTGTGTGTGTGTGTGTATTTAAATGTCACTGAATTATGTAAATCTATAATATTTAGAGCAAAATTATTTATTGAAATTTAATAGACCATATTATCCCCTAATCCACCACACTAACGCCAGAGTCATCTTAACAGTGGCAGCACGAGCAATCAGCATCGTGTAGTGTATCGATCCACCCTGTAATGATAGGAACTTCGACAGACGAACATTATGATGTGGTAAACCTCGACTTCAGTAAAGCCTCCCACAGTCCTCCACGAAAGACTAATACGAAAATCGGAGGCTCATGGAATTGGAGGAGATATTCTAAGATGGATTAGGGCGTGGTTACAGGACAGGAAACAGCGAGTGAGCATTAATGGCACTAAATCCGATTGGGGTAACGTCGCGAGTGGAGTACCCCAGGGCTCAGTACTCGGACCATTATTATTTATTATATACATAAACGACATAGATATCGGCATAGACAGCAACATAAGTAAATTTTCTGATGACACTAAATAGGGCGTGTAATTAAATCTGACGAGGCCTCCACAAAACTACAGGAAGATCTAAAAAAAAATTTCGAATGGTCTGAAAAATGGCAGATGAAATTTAATGTGGACAAAATGTAAAGTACTCAGTCTAGGAGATGTAAACAGAGAAACCAGATATCAGATGAACAACGATGTTATAGAGAAATCTGAATGTTAAAAAAAATATTTAGGAGTAATGATAAGTAGGAACCTTAAGCCAAGTAAACAATGTGTATTTGGTCGAAACAAGGTTATTAAAGTACTTGGGTTCATACAAAGGAGTGTTAGTTACAAGACTAGAGAGGTGTATAAATGGAAGTCGGGGTTAAACAAAGGTGATATAACAAAGGTACTCAAACTATCCAACCAGGAACGAACTCGCAGCAATGTTTTTAGATTAGACAAATTTTGATTTAGGCGCGAGATAGGTAAACACTGGTTTGGAAACAGAGTAGTGGACGAGTGAAACAAGTTACCAAACATCATCATTAACTCGAATACACTGGATTGATTCAAACATAGGTTGGGTGGATATACGAGCAATAGAGGCTGGGTGTAAATGAGACTGCCCAGTATGGACCAATAGGCCTGCTGCAGTTTCCTCCATTGTGTTCTTATTCGCTTGGCGTTTTGTTACACTGTAGGGAAGTTACGCCAGACGAACTTTCTCTTGCTTTCTGCCCACAGTGGAATTGTTTATGCCAGCATCAGGTGACAGCAGGTTACGTGAGGATGGTGACACGGGAGAAAAGGTGAAGGTATTGTATTGTATATTCCAAGGCGGTGCTGCTGCCCTGGTGAAGTATATATAGTGGAGCTTCTGCCACCCGTCCACACCCCGTCCAGCGCTCACCAGCCACACATACACGCACACACACACATCACACGTACACACACAATACATACATGCAAGGTAAGGTTATTATTAGTCACTTTATTACCAAGAATGAGGGATATTGTCTGTTGATTTTTGGAAGAACAAAGCTTTTATACGGCACACACACACACACGCGCACACACAACCCTCAAAATTACAACACCTGTACCACAATTTATCACAACTTATAAATACCAACTAAAAACCCATCTCGTAGTATATATATTAACTAACTGTAAACATATACCACACGTTTTACAAGAACATATTACCCCATGTAAACATCAAAGACACCATTCAGCCATTAAACACCACACCTATTTTCAACGTAATATTGGAACCAAATTTTCTTTCTATCGTTTTATGTGTTTTATATAATATTTACTATATATATATATATAAAATTTTGAGATATATAAATCTAGATCAGATCATTTGAAGCGATTAAGTCAAGTACTTTTCCAGGAAGATACGTAGGATAACAAACTAACTATTTCTTGAGAGAGAGAGAGAGAGAGAAAGTTCCCTTGGGCTCCTTTACAAGATCATACTATCGTCAGGGGATATCCGGGTGATAAAGGGTAGGTAATGTGAGGAATATATAACATTAAACTTTCTCTGGCTGCCGTCATGAGAGAGATGCTGTCCGCCATCGTTGTTTACACGATTTGCATCCATGATCACCAGCGAGAGACAGGGAGGGAGGGAGGGAGTGGCGGGCGAGAGCGTGAGGGTCGGAGTGAGATCTCCTGTTCATTAATTTCGTCTCATATTGGAGTTATGAGTTATATTTGTTTGTGGATCAGTTAGGCTTGTATGGCTAGTTATTTTTTTTTTAATAAATGCATTTACTCCAATAGATTGTTTTGATGGAGAGCAATACTGGGTGAAATAATCTTCAAGGAATTTCTATAAATTCTATTCTGTTCGTATTATATCTCTGGGAAAATGAATTAATTCTTGTATATCTTTATAATTTTATTTTTTTATATAACTTGCTTGTTTTGCTTTTTTCACGAGCACATTAGTAATCTATCTATATAAAACAAAGAAGTATCTGTAGTGATGATGGATGGTGTTATATGTAGTGATGATGGATGGTGTTATATGTAGTGATGATGGATGGTGTTATATGTAGTGATGATGAATGGTGTTATATGTAGTGATGATGGATGGTGTTATATGTAGTGATGATGGATGGTGTTATATGTAGTGATGATGGATGGTGTTATATGTAATGATGATGGATGGTGTTGTATGTAGTGATGATGGATGATGTTATATGTAATGATGATGGGTGGTGTTATATGTAGTGCTGATGGATGATGTTATATGTAGTGATGATGGGTGGTGTTGTATGTAGTGATGATGGATGGTGTTATATTTAGTGATGATGGATGATGTTATATGTAGTGATGATGGATGATGTTATATGTAGTGATGATGGATGGTGTTATATGTAGTTATAATGGATGATGTTATATGTAGTGATGATGGGTGGTGTTATATGTAGTGATGATGAGTGGTGTTATATGTAGTGATGATTAGACAATAAAATAATAACAGTTTAATGCTAACAAAATATACTTTGCTGTGCCATTGTAGTGAAAAACATGGTGGAACTTACATACACCGTTAATGAACTATTGATGGAAGAAGAAGTTTTTGGGACTGAACAGTGAGACAATGTGGAGCCTCCCGGAGGGTGGCGTCCTACCGTTGCCTAGCGGGACGATTCTGCTAGTATAATAACAAAACTAGCAATGCCTTAGTTAATTATAAACGAAAGAAGACTATATGTGCCAGAATCCCGGGTAAAACAAAAGACGACGAACTCTGCTTTGGTTTTCAGTCCTGGGTGCGTGGACGTGTTTCAGATGCGTCTATGGTGCGTCCTGGGTGCAATGACATGTTACAATTGCGTCTTCCATACATTGTGAGTGCGTTAAAATGTTACAGATGCGTCTAGGGTGCGTCCTGGGAGCAATGACATGTTACAACTGCGTCTTTCATACATTGTGAGTGCGTTAAAATGTTACAGATGCGTCTAGGGTGCGTCCTGAGTGTGTTGGTGGGGGTGTTGGCTGCCGGAAGCGCTCTTATTCCCCTCCCCATCCCTCTGCCAGCCGTAGGACCTGGCCCTTTGATAGTGGCTGGTCTCTGGAGTCTCAAGGTGAGTTAGTCTCTTTCATAAGTTCTCTCAGTTCACTTATAAATAGTCTCAGCTCACTTATAGTCTCAGCTCACTTATAAATAGTCTCAGCTCACTTATAGTTTATTTCAGGTCGCCAGGTTACTTGTAAGTAGCCTCAGGTCATTTATAAGTTATATCAGGTCACTTATTACTTATTTCAGGTCATTTAAGACATCGTTTTTCCAGGGTTAAGTCAGTGCACTTAAGGGGTTAAGTTATCGTACTCAAGGGGTAAGTTATCATATTCAAGGGGTTAAATCATCATACTCAAGGGTTAAAGTCATTGTACTCAAAGGTTAAGTTATCATATTCAAGGGGTTAAGTTATCGTACTCAAGGAGTTAAGTTATCGTACTGAAAGGGTTAAATTATCGTACTCAACGGGTTTAAGTTATATTCAAAGGGTTAAATTATCGTATTCAAAAGATTAAATTATATTCAAGGGGTTAAGTTATCGTACTCAAATGGTTAAGTTATCATACTCAAGGGGTTAAGTTATCGTACTCAAGGGGTTAAGTTATCGTACTCAAATGGTTAAGTTATCGTACTCAAGGGGTTAAATCATCACAATTAATGGATTAAAAATGTATATATCCTCACAAAATTTATTAGGTCCAATTATGACTTGTTCTTGATAATGTTGTGTTTGGCGGCAGTACGTGTGTTAAGATGTGATGTCTCTCTTACCCCACCTTACAGGCCATTGCTATACTAGGGTACAAAAAGTTACAGGAGGATAAGCAGTTAAGGGAGGAGGAGAAAGAATATGAGAATTATGAGTCTAGCTACAGCCGCCAGAAACGAGCCATCACACAGGGGGAGGAGGAGGTGGAAGAGGCGGAGAAGCTGTTGCTGTCAGCCGCCACTCACCTGGACACTGACGGCTGTGTACTGAAGCTCCTGTGTCACCTGAACAACAAACAGGTAGATGCTCTTACGCTAGAGGAAACCGTCCTCCTCCAAATGTTCTCTGATAGCCCGGAGACCATGTCCTCCTACAACACCACCATCCAGGAGGACAGTGAAGTCGACCAGGGCGTGTGTGACAAGATGTTCCCCAACTGTCCCCTGACGGAGGAGGAGCTGGGTAGTCTCTTGCGGCAGACGTGGGGCTGTGGGAGCCTCAACCATTAATGTGTATGACAGACGCGGGGTGTGGAAGCTGCTCCTCATAATGTGTATGTGTTTCTGTGTAGGTATGTACACTTATTGTACAGGATAATATTTATATATGTATGTATGTGTTGTTATTGTTATTGTTATTGATGTATTATATATATTAAGTAATTGTAAGTAAAATATTTTATACGTGTCTCCTTCATTTTCTTTTCGCTGCATTCCTTAATAATACGTCATTAAGTATTAAGTATTAAGTGTGACGGTCTTAAGTGTTTAGTTTTGTGGACCAAAACAAGGAACCTTCACATCCCAACTAGCTAACAACCACTTGAGATAGTTACCCTCCCTCCTGTTCTCTTATTGGTCAAAATCATAGCCACAGGTAATATAAATTCACAGTTGGATCCTAGAGCCGGCCAGGTGATGTACAGCAGTCATAGTGTTCAGGTGTTATGCAGGGAGGATTGTGCTGTGATTTAAGGTAAGCGTTTATTGGTCCATCGTGTTTTAGGGTTTATGGCTGCCATGATGTTGGTTTAGGCTCGTTGTGTGAATAGGAGACGTTGATAGTGTGTAGCGTCTAATAATAATAAATAATAATGATAATAATTAACGGTTTATCGAAAGAGCATGGCAGTCAGAAGGTGAAAATATACAGTTACATAATTGGGGAATTGAATAATTGATTGACAAATAATATACAAGTAACATAAGTGATACAAATATGATATATAATAACAAGGTGGGGAGAAGGTCATACTACTTTTTGCACTTTACTCCCACGGAAATTCATTATACCACTGTGTCATAACCTTTGATACCATCTCATTATAAATCGACATTCCATCAAATTACTTAAACAGACTTGCAGATATTACACCGACAGATCACCGAAATACAGTCAATCGTAGGTATGAATAAGGGTGTCTTACGGTATTCGAACCCATAAAGCTCTCAACCAGTCTTCTAGCAGTACGTCACTCTGTTCTCGATACTGTTACCGTGTATATATTGTAAGTTTACCAGTGTACAGACACACTTTGTCTAACTGTTATGAAGCGTCTCGAGTATTGTCTCAATGATATTCCTTTTTATGACACCAATTCGAATGATAATTGTTTCGAGTTTTGAACTGTTCAAAATAAGCTGAAAAGTAGTGGGAGTAAAATGCAAAAGGGGTATTAACAGAGCAGAAAGGTAAGATTGGCTGGGGGTGAACACACTGGTCGACTAGGAGTTGTTGATAAATTTTACATTAGTTGGGAGTGGGCTCGTATGGACTGGATGCGGATGTGGTGTCAAACAGCAATTCGTGAACGAGGGATCTTGGTTGGGAGCAAGAGACAGTGTCGAGGATGGTGCAGAAGCTTCTCACCAAATTTGTAGAGTTGTTGATAAATTTTACATTAGTTGGGAGTGGGCTCGTATGGACTGGATGCGGATGTGGTGTCAAACAGCAATTCGTGAACGAGGGATCTTAGTTGGGAGCAAGAGACAGTGTCGAGGATGGTGCAGAAGCTTCTCACCAAATTTGTAGATTAAGTCGTGGTAATGATCAGAGCGAGCCGAGAGGGGCAATGTGTTGAGCGCTTCTTGATGTAGAGAAGAAAGGGGAGAGAATAATCTAGTACGTATTTAGGGAGGCAGACCAGGTAGGGGAAGCATACTCGTAGGTGAGCTTGGGAAGTATGAATGTTGAGTAAGCACTGAGGAGCTCGGGCGCGGGAACTCCGAGGGACTTGAGGCGGTGGAGGCGGTGGAAACCAAAACTGGAGGATTTGACAATTGTACTGACGTTTATTTTGCGAGTTTCGTTTGTTATCTACAGTGACGCCGAAGAGCTTAGTGAAGTGCACAACCTGGAGTGTGTTGGGACCTAGAGTAATAGAGGGAGGCGGGACAAGGTCAGAGGAAAGGTTGATGTGCATAACCTTGGTCTTGTTATGGTTGATGGTGACGTGGTTGTTGGTGGCCCAGTTTTGGAGACTGTTCAATATATTTTGGAGGGCAGTGTAGTCGGGAGCCGAGTTGTTAACACTGATCCCGATGTTAACTGTAGCGGGGAGTACAAATTTGTCTGTGACTCTTGGGGGAAAAAAAATACTCTCGGTTAAAAAAATAAAAGAGAAATGGGTAAAATTTAATGTCGCTTTACTTCTCGCTTAACCTTAGTGGGTTTTAATTTTTTTTATATTACTTTGAGAATAATGAGGTACCCCCTACCCACACCCCCTACCCACACCCCCTACCCACAAACCCCCGTCTCTCCCCTAACCATTACGAAGAGAACCCTAAAGTGCATTACATACATCTCATTAATGTGCAGTTCCCATCACTCTGAACTTGGAGGGTGACACGAGCCGTCAAATTACGTGGCCTAAATCACCACTCCCGAGGGATCAATGGATAGTATCTGCAATAACTTGTTCCTAGGGTCATTGCAGCCATGTAGAGGTCAAAGTTGGGGATAGATATGGGAGGTTAGGTTAGGTTAGGTTAGGTTAAATTGGGTTAGAATAGGTTAATTTCCATGTTTGATCACGAGTCAGTCTCTACTAATTACAGAAAAAATATTCATTATAATATTTACATTACCATAACAACACATTCAAACACACACACACACACACACACAAATCAATTCGAAATCTGTCACTAAGAAAACATTAAGCAGGATTTATCGGTGTTAGAGAATGCTTTTCGAGTAAATCAGTTGCAATTACTTTATGCCCGGGGGGAACAAGCACAAACACTAGTAAAATTTAATAAACGAGAGAAAAATCGAAGAAATACAAACGTGGTTGGTGTGTCTGTCTGTCTGTCTGTCTGTCCTCTTACCTGGCCACGGTCTGTCTGTTTCTGTCTGTGTTGTGTGGCCATGTACGGTGACCTACTAGTGTTGAAGATGTTTACTTTATCTTTATCACGTGATGTAGGTACAGTTTTTATTTATTTCTCTCACACACACACACACACACACACACACACACACACACACACACACACACACACACACACACACCATCCACGTATTTTCTAAGAATTTCCTTTTTTACCAGCTAGACAAACAGTAAGGTCATCAGAAGGTCAGAGCTCAAATATTTACCTAGCCATCTCAAGTGTTGGGGGAAAAAGGAGGAGACTTGTGTTTTCTGAGGCTGATTAAGAGCTTTTCACTCTCAAGTAGTACTAAATCCTCCTCCCTCTCACCAACTCCTGAAGAACGAGAGGGTGTGAAGTGTGAATGGGAAGGTGAGAGAGAGGGAGGGAGGGAGGGAGAAGGAGGGAGAGAGGGGTTTGGAGGTTTAGGAGAGTGGGAGGGGGGGTGGGTGGGTTAAGAGAGTGAGAGGAAGATGAAATTGACAGTGAGAGGAGAAAGAGAGAGTGATAAAGAGAGAGAGAGAGATATAGATGACTACAACCTCCAGAAAATCATAAACACAAACTAAGGATCCTACATAATACAGTACACAAGACTGGATGTGTATATTGTATGAGAATAACAATAAAAGGTACTGTAAGTGACCATAAGCCTTAGAGAATCACCTGTATAAGCAACAAGTAGATGGGAGTGTAGCCAATGTTAGCAGAGGTCATGTTATCCAAACTACACCATGAAAAATGCAACAGACGAAACTCAACTAATCTTAACTATTATCACACATCATCTTCACTACATTTCATATCATCTTCACTACACTTCATATCATCTTCACTACACTTCACTTAATCTTCACTACACTTCACATCATCTTCACTACACTTCACATCATCTTCACTACACTTCACCTCATCTTCACTACACATCACCTCATCTTCACTACACTTCACCTCATCTTCACTACATTTCATATCATCTTCACTACACTTCACCTCATCTTCACTACACTTCACCTCATCTTCATCTTCACTACACTTCATCTCACTCATCTCTCACTACACTTCACATCATCTTCACTACACTTCACCTCATCTTCACTATATTCACCTCATCTTCACTACACTTCACCTAATCTTCACTACACTTCACATCTCATCTTCACTACACTTCATCTCACTCATCACCTTATTCTCACTACACTTCACATCATCTTCACTACACTTCACCTCATCTTTACTATATCACACCTAATATTCACTACACTTCACCTTAATCTCACTACAATTCACCTTATTCTCACTACACTTCACATCATCTTCACTACACTTCACCTCATCTTTACTATATCACACCTAATATTCACTACACTTCACCTTAATCTCACTACAATTCACCTTATTCTCACTACACTTCACATCATCTTCACTACACTTCACCTCATCTTTACTATATCACACCTAATATTCACTACACTTCACCTTAATCTCACTACAATTCACCTTATTCTCACTACACTTCACATCATCTTCACTACACTTCACCTCATCTTTACTATATCACACCTAATATTCACTACACTTCACCTTAATCTCACTACAATTCACCTTATTCTCACTACACTTCGCCTCATCGTCACTCTACTACACTACACTTCACTATATACTATAGCAAAGTTCCAACCTGTCTTTTTCACACCTTTTTTAATTTTCTAAGCCAATTTTACTTTAATGTCCATCATCGCTGCTGTGAGTCAGTAGCAGCAGAATGACTTTTTCTACTGTTTACGAAGAATCTTTCATCGACCGGGTGTATGACACCTGTGAGGAGCACCGCGTAACAATCATCGACACTCTCATCTGCGAGAGTATGATTCTCAAACGGCAACCCCAATACCTGGGCTCAGGGTCCTCTGGCCACAGTTTTGCAGTACAAGTTGGCCATCAACGATGGGTCTTAAAGCAGTACTATGACGACCCGGTCGTGCAAGACATAATGCTAAGAGAGATCGTTCAGCTCTCCTCCGTGCAGAACTTCCCTTACGTCCAGCGTCTGGTTGGCGTAGTTCCCGAGTACCTCACCATTGTGACGCAGTACGCCGGCGAACCCCTCCATACCTGCATCACCAAAAAACTCTACTCACCAAACGAGTTCATCTCGATCATGCAGCAGGTACTCAACGCCGTCAAATGTCTGCACAGTAAACACATCCTCCACCTGAATCTGAAGCCTTCCAAAGTGTGTATACTCCGAGACAAAGAAGGCGACCTACGGGCCACCCTGATCGACTTCGGGTCTTCACACCCAGCTGGTGATTGCATACAATATTGGGACAACTCACCAACAACATACCCGTCTACAGACCCACAGCTGTTCAACGGAGAGCCTTGCCACCCTACCAACGATATCTATAGCTTTGGCTGGATGCTGGCCACGCTGTTGCCACACGTGCTCGAAAACAACATCCCCGAAAGCCTTGACTTATGGGCGAAAGGTGCCCAACATAAGGACTCAAAAAAGAGGCCAACCCTACTAGAATTGTCGAAGCTCCTTCAGTGTGTATCGTTCAGACACTGAAGCGAGAGGCTCAGGCTGCCCCAAGACTCAGCCGTCAACAAGATGGCCTCTCAATTATAATTTTGAGACTAAAACATATAAAGATTTTTTATTTTTTGCTTTCAATATTTTTTTTTACGGAAGTAGCTCACCAAGGCACAAAAAATAATAAAAAATAAAAAAAAAAATTAAAAAAAATAATAATAACAATACGATAAAAAAATTAATAGTGAGAAACAATACATGTACAGTATGTTATGTTGTAAGAGTAAGAGAAACAATTGAAACCCTGCACTTATGTATAAATGAGACGAAAAGTCAGATAAAACAACCTGGGACTTGGTCACATCTGGCAGCAGGGTCTACCATTGGACGACACATTATGCTTCCAATATCTTCCCAGTACCTCCCTGTCTACGACCTGATGTATATTGTTATGTATTAAAAATAAACTTTATGCTATAACTTGTGTGTATTTTGCCTTAGTCTATCTATCTATATAAAACAAAGAAGTCTGTCTGTTTGTTTGTGTGTGTGTTTGTGTGTGTGTGTGTGTGTCTGCACGAGAATCTCGGAAACTACTTTAGCGATTTCTAGTGATGATGGATGGTGTTATATGTAGTGATGATGGATGGTGTTATATGTAGTGATGATGGATGGTGTTATATGTAGATGATGCGATGTGATGTTGGATAGTGTAGTGATGATGGATGGTGTTATATGTAGACATGTAGTGATGATGATGTGATATATGTATGATGTAGTGATGATGGATGGTGTTATATGTAGTGATGATGGATGGTGTTATATGTAGTGATGATGGATGGTGTTATATGTAGTGATGATGGATGATGTTATATGTAGTGATGATGGATGGTGTTATATGGAGTGATGATGGATGGTGTTATATGTAGTGATGATGGATGGTGTTATATGTAGTGATGATGGATGGTGTTATATGTAGTGATGATGGATGGTGTTATATGTAGTGATGATGGATGATGTTATATGTAGTGATGATGGATGTTGTTATATGTGAGCGGTAGCGCAAAAGGTTTACAGAGTAGAGTTTACAACGGGTCATAATAATTAACCCCCGTTGTCAGGATATTATGGCACTGAATGTTACACAGTATTTCAATTACAATATTTGTTTAGTTCTATACATAAAGGGTAACTTATTCACAAATGCGTGAGTACAGGCGTGTGAGGCAGTATGTCTGGCCTCACACTTTGTTATTCACATTTGTGTGAGAAGTATTCAAGCACATCGTGTATTTGGTTCTGTACATGAGAACTGATATAGTTACTAAGTGCAAAAAAGTGGATACAATCTTAATATGTCGGCTATCTTGCCATTAGAGATGAAGTGTTGTGCCATTTCACACACAGTGTGCTTGGACCTGTCCCTAAAAGGTTCTATCTTCACACAGTCGAGGACGTAGCATTCAAGTGTGTGGCCATATGTCTGGCCACACACTTTACATTTAGTCTTGTTTACATCTGCTTGAGGAACATACTGCCAGAGGTACTTATATCCTAACCTTAATCTAGCGGTTACAACATCTTGTAATCTAGTGATCTTGTTACTTGCTCCATATACATGTTTCACTTGATACATCTCATCATGGTAAACTATGGATCGACTCGTGCCTATTTGCACAAGTCTACTTGCGTCAAACTCATCAATAAGTTCTTTCCTAATTACAGTTATCCTCTGCATCCAGTGTTGGGGCGTATGCACTGATGAAGAAGGCATGACATGAGTGATTCATTGGGACTCTGAGCGTCATGGGGCGCTCGTTGATCCCAAAAGGCATTTCAGTTAGCCTCTGTAGGGTGCATTGGCAGATGGCAAAGCCAACTCCATAAATGCAGTTTCTCTCCTCAGCAGGCTTACCCTTCCAGAAGAAGGTATAGCCAGACCCCCGTTCTGTGAGTTGGCCTTCATCTGGGAGCCGGGACTCACTCATGGCTGCTATGTCGATGTTATATCTCTCTTTCTCTTTTGCCACAAGGGCAGTTCTTCTTTCAGGACGCTCATTTGTGCCAGTATCCAGAAGGTCCTGACATTCCATGCAGCGACTGTAAAAGGTTGTATAGTTGTTGTTTGTTTGTTTTTTATCTGTGATTATGATTGTGTTTTCGACCACATAAGGATGACCTTACTGGGTGCGGTTGCCCAGTCAGGTTGGTTCTTTAGGCAGGCTATGTTTAGGACACCCTTTTTAGCCCCCTCCCCATGTGGGGTGAGCAGAGTGTCTCCTTGAAAGGGCTGCTCAGTCGCACAGACAGGACCGGATTGCACTGCTGCCTAGATCCCAATGCATAAGCGACCATCTTATCTAGGCCGCCCATGTGCAGAGTTGTGACTAGAGACTCCCGGTAGTCATCTCTGCTTGTCCCCGTCGCCACTCGTCCGTCGCTTTAGGACTTTTGGGGGTAAAGTGGTTTTGATGATGATGAGAGGTATGATGAGCTGGATGATGGCTGTGCATGAGTTGATTTATGTGGTGAGGCAGGAGCGCAGGCTGCAACCACAGATCTTGGCTCTCCCTTTTCCTGATCCAGTGGTGCAAGTGTTGCAATGACTTGGGAGAGGAAGAGTTGCAGTGGACTGCCGATAGCCCAGTTTGTTGTCCATCAGGCATTGTCTTCATCCGCCGGTGTAGTCGTTGGGTTCCCATGCCTACACCGCCGTTGGGTCTTGTTGGAGCTCTGTAAGCATGTCTGCCTGATGCGGGGCTCCACCGCAAATTTTTCGTACTCCCATAGCCCTATACCTGCCAAGGTTAATCCTCAAGGCAGTGGGGCGGTGGTTGGTAGGCGCCTAGACGTGTCCACATGCTACTGGGCCTAGGCACCGTCCCTCTAGGCCCACTGCTACTCCGAGATCCCCTGATGGTCTAGCCTAGGCCCACGAGGCACCAAGTTACCGTGTGTTGCCACGAGGAGACACAGCACTAACACTAACATTATGCTGCCACACTAGACGCATGCCACCACACTGTGTGCGAACACACATGCACACACAGAGTCAAATGAAGGTGACAGCCACAGACGTACAGGTATATGTATGTACAGTACACGAGGCTTTAATTAGTGTCTATGTATATAGGAGTGAGGTAAATGAAGGTATCTAGTTCAGGTAGAGTCTCGGTGCTCATTTTGTCTCCTAACTGGTGCTAAGTGAACGTATCTAGTTAAGTACATTATTTTTCGTGTTAACTTAAGTCAGTTAGTTATATACGTTCTTATATCTTCATTTATGAGGAATATTACGATTTTTTTTTCTGTTGGATTCTTAAGGAAAAAAAGCACAAAATATTCTAAACTTTTATTTATTTTGAAATGAGAAAGAAAGGACTAGAGAATAAAAGGATGGGAAAGAAAGAGAGAGAGAGAGGGGGGAAACGATAACAAGAATAGTGGCCCAAACAACAACAAACTTATTTACACTTATATAACAACAAGAACAATTAACAAATAAAACAAAAACAACCTTAACGTTAATAGTAATCCCGTATAGAAGTTACAAAGAGACGCCAAGCCAATGTTTACATCATTAAGGGATCATAAGTACAAGAGGATTCAATGAGATGTTTCTTTTGTATTAGAAAATCTTCGTGTATGTCAAAAGATGTTTATAATTTGTCTTGTCCTTTGATTACTTAAATATGTGTATAAATTTAGGTGTGTTAGGAAGGCAACGTGTAGGTACTGTACATTGTTTGTTTACCTTCATGATCTTTGTATAATTATCACGTCAACATTGAACTCCTCTGTAATGATCCTTTGAAAATAGACTCCTGAACCCTTCCAACTCACGTTATCTATTAATTATAACCACAAAAACTCTCTATATCTTTCTCACACAAGCTGTAAACATAAATACAATGTTTATATTATAATTTACACATATTGAAGGTTTGGATACAGATCACCAGAGATTTATAACGGCGAATTTGTCATCATAATGTAAGATGTCATGAAGAAATTACTGCCCCAAAAATGTAAAAAATGGCATCAGAATTATCTTACACAACAACACAGTGATTTGAAAGGTGTGGTAGGTGGTGGTGTCAGAGTACACTTACTGTATACAACACAAAAGTTAACAACAGAAGACTAGACTTTTTAACTCGTTACCAGCAAATAAATTAATATCGCTGGAAAAACAACAGAAGTTGACTCGCGGGAGGCTGACGAGACCTGGTGATGAGCCAGGCCGTAGAGGCTGTTACTTCCTATGGGCAGCCGGCAGTAAGACTGTTTAATCAGTCTGCCACCCAAGTAAACTGAACTTGGGACAACAGTAGCTGCTGGGCTAGAAATATTCCCCTGAACCAACACCAGGAGTCCCACACCCCGCGTCTGTCATACACGTTAATGGTTGAGGCTCCCACAGCCCCACGTCTGCCGCAAGAGACTACCCAGCTCCTCCTCCCTCAGGGGACAGTTGGGGAACATCTTGTCACACACGCCCTGGTCGACTTCACTGTCCTCCTGGATGGTGGTGTTGTAGGAGGACATGGTCTCCAGGTTGTCGGAGAACATTTGGAGGAGGACAGTTTCCTCCAGCGTACGAGCATCTACCTGTTTGTTGTTCAGGTGACACAGGAGCTTCAGTACACAGCCGTCAGTGTCCAGGTGAGTGGCGGCTGACAGCAACAGCTTCTCCGCCTCCTCTATCTCCCCTATCCCCTGGTCAATGGCCCGCTTGCGGCGGTGGTGGACGGGATAGGCGTTGTAATATACTGGTTCCTCCTCTTCATGTTCCTTCTTTACGGTAGCCGCGACAGCCAGAGCACCCTGTAAAGGCGCCCACACACTATCAAATATGTTTGATCATACATCGCCACACACTTTACAACTAGAATGATCAAACTTCAGTTGGTGTCTGGTACGAGCCGTCTCAACACTGGGTGACAGCATGAGTAAGGAGGCAGCCTGTATGGCTATTATACCTTCTCTTGAAACAGAGACTTGAAAGAAAACACGAAAAAGAAAATTATGGATGAAGGAATGGCACAGAAAAAGACCCATGTTCTCTCACGACTTTTTGAGAATGAAACTTTCGTTGAACTGTTGGAGAAAGTGACGCCGTATACAAAACAAAAGAGGACACTATCTTGAGGGATGCCATACAAAGACTCTCTAGTACACTACGGTTCCTAAACGGGCCAGTCTTTTGAGGGCCTAAAGTTTACAACTGCCATTTCTTCTCAAAGTCTTGTAACCTTCACTTTTTATTTGCCACAATGATGGAAACTACTTATAAAGTTCATTAAACTCTCTCCAAAACTCATAGGAGTCCCGTGCGCTCTCCATGGCTACTGCTACTCGACTGAGCATGTTTGATCATACATTGCCACACACTATCCAACATGTTTGACAAACGTCATGTTGGACGAGAAAATATTCAAACTTGTTTAATCTTCTTCAAACATGTTGGTCATACCTTCAAACTTGCCCACACACTCTCAAATTGTATGATCAAACACCATCTTTGACAAACACATCTTTGATAGTGTGTGGGCAACACCAGTGACGTGACGTGATGTGACTTACAGAAAGAGGCTTAATGAAATCATGAAATGTGTATCATTCACTATTTTCCTCACACTTTCTCTCCATCCCTCTTATTCTTTCCCTTCTCTTGTCCTGTCTCCTTCACTTCCTTACCCCATCTTTAACCTTTTCTCTGAATCTCTTATCATCTCCTCCTTCCCTGATCTTTTATTCATTCCCGGGGATGAATAGTGTGGATAAAAAGGAATGATAAAGAGACGAAGGAGAGAAAATGGGAGAATGAGACTAAGGAATGGGTGATACATAAGGTGGAAAGGAGGGAAATAAAAGAGTGATTGAGCGAAAGAAAGATTAACAATGAGATACAACGAACACAGAACATGTAAACAAACCGACAAAACACTGGTATCAACAAACCTTGAGCATGATGAGGGCGATCCCTGCCACAAACGCTGGAAACCCTGCCACAAACACCGGCAGGGGCAAATTTGGTAAGGGAAGAGGGAAGGGGGGAACAAAGGGTGGTATCTGGAAGTTTGGTAAGGGAAAGGGGAAGGGGGGAACAAAGGGTGGTATCTGAATGACAGCTTGGCCCTCGCTGCCTGTCCATAGACCCACCATCGCCAGACCTAACACGACCACAACACGCATCTGTAAATGGGATGTAAATTAACAAGATTCGTAATAGTAAATAGCTTAGGTTAGTTTGAGGTTAAGCTAGCGTTAGGGTAGTTAATCTTCAGGTGAAATAAACTTAAGGGGACGATCTACAGGTGAATTGAGCATCGGGAAGCCAATCTACAGGTAGTTAAGCAGAGTTCATCTATAACAGCTCTGAACATCGTCTAAGGAAGTTATCAAGTACTTTTGAACCATATTAACATTTCATTTAATCTCAATCGCTTATATCACTTCCTTATATATCACTTATATTACTTATATCTTAATACTTAACACTTACCGTTGCTTAATCTCGAAGCTGAAGGATGATAATGATGTTACACTCTCCTTAACAAGACTCAGTCAGGCTCTGGAGAAAAAAATGAGCATCAAAATAAACAAAATAATATTACCTTAAGTTAAACCCTCCTTAACGCTACTGGGAGGGGAGTTTAGGTTAGTGTTGGGTTAGGTTAGGTTAGGTTAGTGTTAGGTTAGGTTAGGTTAGGTTAGGTTAGGTTAGTGTTAGGTTAGGTTAGTGTTAGGTTAGGTTAGGTTAGCATTAGGGTAATTAATCTTAAGGTGAAATAAGCTGGAGGCTAATCTGTGGGGTGAAATAAGCTGGGGGGCTAGTCGTCATGGATCTCACACTTACACCAACATTGTCAACATCTGTACCACCACTTACACCAACAACATCACCATCTGTACCACCACTTACACCAACAACATCACCATCTGTACCACCGCTTCCACCAACAACATCACCATCTGTGCCACCACTTACACCAACAACAACACCATCTGTACCACCACTTACACCAACAACATCACCATCTGTACCACCACTTACACCAACAACATCACCATCTGTACCACCACTTACACCAACAACAACACCATCTGTACCACCACTTACACCAACAACATCACCATCTGTACCACCACTTACACCAACAACATCACCATCTGTACCACCACTTACACCAACAACATCACCAACTGTACCACCGCTTACACCAACAACATCACCATCTGTACCACCACTTACACCAACAACATCACCATCTGTACCACCACTTACACCAACAACATCACCATCTGTACCACCATTTACACCAACAACATCACCATCTCTTAACACAAACATTACACCACCAGTTGTATCCCTTGCATCACCTACTACTGTTGTCGTCAGCGTCCGGTGCACCAGTTAGATACTGCCACTGCCGCCTGACCACCTCACAGTATATAAACTCTCACAGCAGAGAGACGATGAAGGTAAACAGTGATGACTTTCTCCCATCACACACGCTACGCAGGTGAGAGTAACTAAGGTCCTGACTTTCAATGATTTTTACTTTCATTGTTATAGTTACTAGACGTCCTGGGAACGGGATCTAGGAATGCGTACCCCTTTGTCTGTGCGCTCGTGGTGTCGTAATTCTGTGGTTCATGAATTTTGTAAACGCGATAAATTGCGGAAAATTATAGTGGATTTTTATAGAACCTACAAGCGGAATCGCCCCCCTCCGGGAGGCTCCACATTGTCTCACTGTAGTGCATTAAGGTAGACCACATTTTTTGTTTTGCCATTAGCAGCAAGTATGTACAGATTTTTGCCAGTTCCCACTCTGGAGCATCCAACATAGAACTGTCCATGAGAGAAGCAAGGAAACACCAGGTTTAGGCCAACCATCTTTAGGGACTGTCCCTGGCTTTTGTAGATGGTCATGGCAAAGCTCACTTTAACCGGGAACTGAAGTCGCTTGAACTCAAATGGCAGGTCAGTGGTGATGAGAGGTATCCTTGGTATAAAAACTTCCTCTCCTTTAGCTTTTCCTGTCAGTATTGTAGCTTCCAGTACATGTGGCATCATGTTCTTCACCACCAGTCTTGTGCCATTGCAGAGGATTGGTGGTTCAAGATTTCTTAAGAGCATTATAGGAGTTCCAATCTTGAGAGTGAGGTGGTGAGGAGGCATTCCAGCGGGCTCCGAAGAATTAAGGAATTCTGCAGGGTACTGGACTGTTTGGTCCTGGTCGATTACTGTATCAACAGATTTGAGTTAGGTCTCACTGCCTGGAAGCTGTCTGAGTAGAATCATGTTGATTTCAGCCACTGTTTCATTCTTTGGTGCCAGAATTGCGCGTTCACGCAGCCACTTGTGATCCTTGTAGCGGTGGATAATGTTTGGGTAGACCATGTTAGTGAGCTCAGTTGAGGACTTTACAACATTTCCACATCCTTGAGGAATGATTATTTGTCTTTCTGAATCAACAGGGAAAGTTCCATTCCCAATCTGTAGTAGAAGGTTTGCAAACCGTCCAACATCCTGATCTTATAGATGTACTCTCATGTTTGTGGATAGGGCGCGCATTCAGTTCATCAGCTGGAGTGCTTCGAGGAATGACAGGTAGGGTCTGGCGAAAGTCTCCAGTAATGACCATTGTAATGCCACCCATGAGCTGGTCATTTTCTCGTATGTCTTGCAAGGTCCTGTCCAATGCTTCAAACGCTAACTTGTGAGACATAGTGCTGCACCTGGCGGGACAGGAAAAACATTCTTGATCAACCTTCTCTTGGCCAAAGTACGTCATCAGGGGAAAATTGCTCTTGCTGTGGCATCCTCAGGCATTGCTGCAACACTACTAGAAGGAGGACGTACCGCACACTCAACTTTTAAACTGCCTCTCAACTTCGCTCACAATGAGAATCCAGGTATGAATTGTCTGCAGTTTCTTTATGTTTGTTTGTTTTATTGCATGTAGGGGAATTGGTGGCTATACTAGTCGGGATTGGACAAAGGCTCTATATAACTTTAACTTGTTTTTTGCTGACAGGCTTCTGAAGCGTTTTAGTTTAATTACCAAGGACAGTGCCTTCCATGGCATATGAAATTACTTTGTTGTCTACTAAAAAGTGGAAGATACAAACGAACACCAACACGTTCAAAATAATACCAATCGCTAAAAGGAAAAAACACCCCATCACAACTCATGTTACTTCTCAGATACATGTTTCCCCCCCCCCACTTAGGTTAGGTCAGGTTAGGTCAGGTCAGGTCAGGTTAGGTTAGGTCAGGTTAGGTCAGGTCAGGTTAGTCCTTCATTATCACTTTTACCTCTTAATATAACAACCATTAAACTCAAGGAAGCAAAAAGTACACAATCTGTGCATTACTTACATAGTACATTACTGCACAAGAGGAGATAACCACACGATGTAATAAATAATTACATTTATAACACAGTTCACTCATAACACACTTAGTACATTCATAACACACTTAGTACACTCATAACACACTTAGTACACTCATAACACACTTAGCACATTCATAACACACTTAGTACATTCATAACACACTTAGTACATTCATAACACACTTAGTACACTCATAACACACTTAGTACATTCATAACACACTTAGTACATTCATAACACACTTAGTACATTTATAACACACTTAGTACACTCATAACACACTTAGTACACTCATAACACACTTAGTACATTCATAACACACTTAGTACATTCATAACACACTTAGTACACTCATAACACACTTAGTACATTCATAACACACTTAGTACATTTATAACACACTTAGTACACTCATAACACACTTAGTACACTCATAACACACTTAGTACATTCATAACACACTTAGTACATTCATAACACACTTAGTACACTCATAACACACTTAGTACATTCATAACACACTTAGTACATTTATAACACACTTAGTACACTCATAACACACTTAGTACACTCATAACACACTTAGTTCACTCATAACACACTTAGTACACTCATAACACACTTAGTACATTCATAACACACTTAGTACACTCATAACACACTTAGTACACTCATAACACACTTAGTTCACTCATAACACACTTAGTACATTCATAACACACTTAGTACACTCATAACACACTTAGTTCACTCATAACACACTTAGTACATTCATAACACACTTAGTACACTCATAACACACTTAGTACACTCATAACACACTTAGTACACTCATAACACACTTAGCACTCATAACACACTTAGTACACTCATAACACACTTAGTACACTCATAACACACTTAGTACACTCATAACACACTTAGTTCACTCATAACACACTTAGTACACTCATAACACACTTAGCACATTCATAACACACTTAGTACACTCATAACACATAGTACCTCTTACTTTATATAGCACATTCACCAACACATAGTACACTCATAACACATAGTACCTCATAGCACCTTTTCATAACTTACACTTAGTACACTCCTGTACACTTAGCACATTCATAACACTTAGTACTCACTGCCCATAGCACATTCATAGCACATAGTACTCATAACATAGTACCTCCTGTACCTTAGTACACTCATAACACACTTAGTACACTCATAACACACTTAGTACACTCATAACACACTTAGTACATTCATAACACACTTAGCACACTCATAACACACTTAGTACATTCATAACACACTTAGTACACTCATAACACACTTAGTACACTCATAACACACTTAGTACATTTATAACACACTTAGTACATTCATAACACACTTAGCTCACTCATAACACACTTAATACATTCATAACACACTTAATACATTCATAACACACTTAGTACACTCATAACACACTTAGTACATTCATAACACACTTAGTACATTCATAACACACTTAGTACATTCATAACACACTTAATACATTCATAACACACTTAATACATTCATAACACACTTAGTACACTCATAACACACTTAGCACATTCATAACACACTTAGTACATTCATAACACACTTAATACATTCATAACACACTTAATACATTCATAACACACTTAGTACATTCATAACACACTTAGCACATTCATAACACACTTAGTACATTCATAACACACTTAGTTCACTCATAACACACTTAGTACATTCATAACACACTTAGTACACTCATAACACACTTAGCACATTCATAACACACTTCGCACATTCATAACACACTTAGTACACTCATAACACACTTAGTACATTCATAACAGTGCCACTTTAGCACTTTTCAACATAAGACGACTCCGGGCAGGAACAAAGGTGTCGGCAGCTTCCATCACTGAACTTCAGTAGACAGATGACCTCACCCTCGTCTCTCACACTGAACTAGCCCTACGGGAGATCCTGAACACCTACGCAGATGCATATGCACATTTCGGCCTTGAGGTGAATGCACGTAAGACTCGGATTCTCTTTCAGCCTGCCCCTGGTTCAGCCACACCTCCACCATCCATCCACCTTAACGGTACTACTCTCGCTAATGTTACCCACTTCCGGTACCTTGGCTCCCACCTGTCCACCACCGCGGACATCGATCAGATGTGCATCTAAAGCCTTTGGCAGACTCCATACCCGTGTCTTCGGCTGTAGGGAGCTGAAAATATCTAAAGTTGCAAATTGCATATACAGTATATCGATCAGTGGTACTCCCCACCCTGGTGTATGGCAGCGAGGCAATACTTTCGAGTTAGCCCTACTGCATACCGAGGCAGACAAGCGACAGCACCGGAAAGACGCTGCCACCACCCCTCCCGCACTAGAAGTAGCCCTCCATTTGTGCAACATCTATGGACGACCCTGCCGGTCCTGTATCGACCTCGAGCCACCTCAGAGCTCACCAACGAAGGTGACATCTTTAGCTCATATCACTGTATCATAGCTGGATGATCGTCATACTCGATTTCGAGTGACAGCAAAGTAGTAGTAGTAGTTGTGTGTTATCACATACCTTGAGAAAAACTTTCTTTTTCTAAGTCACCAAACAATATCCCTCATTATTAGTACAGTGACTAATAATAACCTTAGCTTGCATGTATGTATTGTGTGTGTACGTGTGATGTGTGTGTGTGCGTGTGTGTGTGTGTGTGTGGCCGGTGAGCGCTGGACGGGGTGTGGACAGGTGGCAGAGGCTCCACTATATACTGTATACTTCACCAGGGCAGCAGACTGGACCAGCACCGCCTTGGAATATACAATACAATACCTTCACATTTTCTACCGTGTCATCATCCTCACGTAACCTGCTGTCACCTGATGCTGGCATAAACAACGCCACTGTGGGCAGAACGTTCGTCTGATTTAACTTCCCGACCATTAAAGAACCTTCATCTACATACGAACACTTTAAACTTGTATCGGTCAAGTAAAGAAAAATAATTTAACAAAAACTTTATTTATAAATCACAAGTTCTCTTATTATTAGTATTGTTATTGATATTATTATTATTATCATACTTTCCTTCATCATTATTAGGTTAGATAAAGTGTTTATCATCACCCATCTGTAATTACTGTCTTAATCTAATGGATTGTTCAGTACTGTCATGTATAAGTACACTTGATGCACTGATGTCTTACACTTAAGTATAAAGTAAATGATTTGAAAGTTATATTAAAGCTTCAATGTTATCTTGAAACTAATTTTAGAGCGTGTGTTGTAGTTTAGGGAAGTCGGTGTTTAGAGTGTAATGTGTATGGGTGTGGGGAGTGTGACTTACAGGTGGGAGTGGAGTTGGTGTGTGGGGGAGTGTGAGAGTTGGTGTTTACGGGTGGGGAGTGTGGGAGTTGGTGTTTACGGTGTGGGAGTGTTTGGTGTTTACAGGTGTGGGGGAGTGGGAGTCGGTGTTTACAGGTGTGGGGGAGTGTGGGAGTTGGTGTTTACAGGTGGGGGAGTGTAGGAGCTACGGGTGTTGTGGGAGTGATGGGTGTGGGGGAGTGTGGGAGAGGGAGTGGGAGTGGTGTTTACGGGTGTGGGGAGTGGGAGTTGGTGTTTACGGTGGGGGAGTGTGGAGCGGTGTTTAGTGTGGGGAGTGGAGTTGGTGTTTAGTGTGGGGGGTGGAGTGTTTACAGTGTGGAGTGGTGTTTACGGGTGTGGGGAGTGGGAGTTGGTGTTTACGGGGTGGGGGAGTGTGGGAGTTGGTGTTTACGGTGTGGGGAGTGGGAGTTGGTGTTTACGGGTGGGAGGAGTGTGGGAGTTGGTGTTTAGGGGTGGGGGTGTGGGAGTCGGTGTTTACGGGTGTGGGGGAGTGTGGGAGTTTACAGGTGTGGGGGAGGGGAGTGTGGGTGGGGGTGTGGGGAGTCGGTGTTTACGGGTGTGGGGAGTGTGGGAGTGTGGGAGTTGGTGTTTTTAGGTGTGGGGAGGGGGGAGGGTGTTTACGGGTGTGGGGAGTGCTTAGAGGTATGGGGATTTTGTAGGGGTGTGGGGTATATTTTCTGGAGGGTTGGAAGATGTGGGTTGGTGGTTATAGAGTTGATGATGTGTCGGGGTGGTGTGGGTGTGTGGGGGAGGCTAAAAACACACACACACACACACACACACACACACACACACACACACACACACACACACACACACCTTGAACCCTTAATATAAGCTCAAAGAGACACTATTAAGTTAAATTGGGTGAATTCTCTGTACGAAATGACTGACACGCAAAAATTCCTCAAAACTCTTATAATTTAATAACATTACTCATAAACCTCTCGTGATAACTCATAAGGTGTGAATAAGAGGAGCAGGAGAGGATTTTAGAGAGAGGGAGGGAGGAGCAGGGGGAGGGCAGGAGGATTTTAAGAGAGAGGGCGGGGAGAGGATTTTAAAGAGAGAGAGAGTTTTAAAAATAAAAAAAAATAAAAAATACAATATTATAGATCTTTGGATATTGGGTACAAATAACACTTTGAACACAGTGATATTTACATTAGTGTGTGGCAAGACGGACGATCCCTGACATTGTTTGCACAGTGTTTACATTGCTTGCACTGTTCTTGTATACATAAACAAAGACATCTCACGTACACAAGCTACAAGGGGAAGTTCTCACACCCCCAAGTCTGCTTCAGGACAATATCTAGTTCCTTCTCCTTCAGCGGACACTTGGGGAACAACTCATCACACTTAGATTGATCTTCAGCTGGAGTCTGATCGGCTTCTTTACGCTCCAGGGGGGCGGTGTTGAAGGAGGACATGGCCTCTGGGTTAGCGGAGAACAACTGGAGGATCAGCTTGTCCTCTGGGGTGCGATCAAACTCCTGCTTGTTATTTAATGAACACAGGAGCTTCAACACACAGCCATTAGTGTCCAGGTGAGTGACGGCTGACAGCAACAGCTTCTCTGCTTCAGCGACTTCTTGCATGCCCTGTACGATGGCTCGCTTATGGCGGCTGTAGTGGGGAGGAGGTGGTGGTGGAGGGGCGCTGTGGTAGGAAGGTGGTGGAGGGGCGCTGTGGTAGGAAGGTGGTGGAGGTAGGTAAATATAGTGTGGCTGTGGGGCTTCCTCCTCCTCACCTCCTGACAACACTTTCTTCAGGAGTTTAACAATGACGAGAAGCTGTAATATAATAAACGGGTAAATATAGGAATTGTTTAATAACTACGACAGATAGACAGACAGAGAGAAGATGGGACAGTAAGACAGGCAGAGAGAGAAAGATAGACAAAGAGAATATAATCAATAGTGTGACTCATATATCACAAGGTTATTTCAGTATGTCACCTAACTTCTAAAGTGAAGACTTAAAAGAGCATTTTATGTATGTATGTATGTATGTATGTATGTATGTATGTATGTATGTATGTATGTATGGCGACCTGTGGTGTAATGGTCAGCTTGCCTCGCCATTTGCCTCTGTCTACCCAGCAGTAATTGGGAACCTGGATGTTAATCGATTTGCGGATTGTGTTCAGGATTAATGTTTAGCCAGTGCAGTTGGCGAGTTGTCCGGTCTTCTCGGACTATTTCTTGACACTGGGTCCTGCAGCTCGTTAACTCAGGGTGTGGTTGTTGTGTTGGTGACAGCTTCTACACCTTAAACGAGTTCACGCTTAGATGGCCCTTTGACCGGCTATCTTCGTTACGAGAGGGGTGACCTTTATTATTATGTAATGTATAAAAATTCACCTAGGTTGGGAAACATACACACGCGCGCGCACGTTCCAAACTAACACGTGTAAAATATTCCATAGTTACTTACCCCAATGCCTTCAATACCAGCCACTGCCAATACGGTCTTAATTCCACCAAGTCCACCAAGTCCACCAAGTGCACCAAGTCCACCAAGTGCACCAAGTCCACCAAGTCCACCAAGTGCACCAAGTCCACCAGGGAGAGGCAGAGCCAAATTCAGGGGTATACCAGCTAACTCTAGACCTAGGGCGTCACCCATCGCTAGTAACCCCACCAGGAGAGCCGAGACCATTCCCAACTGCATCTGTGGTATAAGGATGAGATATATCTTTTATTTATAATACGTGAGAAACAGGTTAAGTGATAAGTCCCTGGAGATACATATGTGACGTAATGAATGAGAGAGAAGTGAGATACAGGGAGATTGATACACTTAGGTGAGACATAATACATACCAGGAGGAGGGGGAGAGGGAGGAAGGAGAAGAAACAAGAGGAGGAAGAGGAAGAAGAGAATGAAGAGGAAGGGGAGAAGGAGAAGAAACAAGAGGAGGAAGAGGAGGTGATTAAGGGTAGGAAAATAACGAGAGAAAGAGAGAGAGGTTATTGATGGGAAGTAATGGAGAAAGATAAATAAAAATTGAGGTAGAGAACGTAGGAGACTGAACCCTTGATGATTGTGTTTACAGAGTCCCTTGATGTTTGTGTTTACAGAGTCCCTTGATGATTGTGTTTACAGAGTCCCTTGATGTTTGTGTTTACAGAGTCCCTTGATGATTGTGTTTACAGAGTCCTTTGATGATTGTGTTTACAGAGGCCCTTGATGATTGTGTTTACAGAGTCCCTTGATGATTGTGTTTACAGATTCCCTTGATGATTGTGTTTACAGAGTCCTTTGATGATTGTGTTTACAGAGCCCCTTGATGATTGTGTTTACAGAGTCCCTTGATGATTGTGTTTACAGAGCCCCTTGATGATTGTGTTTACAGAGTCCCTTGATGATTGTGTTTACAGAACTGATGATTGTGTAGATTCCCTTGATGATTGTGTTTACAGAGTCCCTTGATGATTGTGTTTACAGATTCCCTTGATGATTGTGTTTACAGAGTCCTTTGATGATTGTGTTTACAGAGTCCCTTGATGATTGTGTTTACAGAGTCCCTTGATGATTGTGTTTACAGAGCCCCTTGATGATTGTGTTTACAGAGTCCCTTGATGATTGTGTTTACAGAGTCCCTTGATGATTGTGTTTACAGAGCCCCTTGATGATTGTGTTTACAGAGTCCCTTGATGATTGTGTTTACAGAGCCCCTTGATGATTGTGTTTACAGATTCCCTTGATGATTGTGTTTACAGAGTCCCTTGATGATTGTGTTTACAGAGTCCCTTGATGATTGTGTTTACAGAGCCCCTTGATGATTGTGTTTACAGATTCCCTTGATGATTGTGTTTACAGAGTCCTTTGATGATTGTGTTTACAGAGCCCCTTGATGATTGTGTTTACAGATTCCCTTGATGATTGTGTTTACAGATTCCCTTGATGATTGTGTTTACAGAGCCCCTTGATGATTGTGTTTACAGATTCCCTTGATGATTGTGTTTACAGAGTCCTTTGATGTTTGTGTTTACAGAGTCCCTTGATGATTGTGTTTACAGAGTCCCTTGATGATTGTGTTTACAGAGGCCCTTGATGATTGTGTTTACAGATTCCTTGATGATCTTTGATTGTGGACTGTTTACAGAGTCCTTGATGTTTGTGTTTACAGAGTCCCTTGATGATTGTGTTTGATGATTGTGTTTACAGAGGCCCTTGATGATGATTGTGTTTACAGAGTCCCTTGATGATTGTGTTTTGATGATTGTGTTTTACCCTTGATGATTGTGTTTGATCCCTTGATGTTTGTGTTTACAGAGTCCCTTACAGAGTCCCTTGATTGTGTTTGCAGAGTCCTTGATGTTTGTGTTTACAGAGTCCCTTGATGTTTGTATTTACAGAGTCTTACAGAGTCCCTTGATGTTTGTGTTTACAGAGTCCTTGATGTTTGTGTTTACAGAGCCCCTTGATGTTTGTGTTTACAGAGTCCCTTACAGAGTCTTGATGTTTGTGTTTACAGAGTCCCTTGATGTTTGTGTTTACAGAGTCCCTTGATGTTTGTGTTTACAGAGTCCTTGATGTTTGTGTTTACAGAGTCCCTTGATGTTTGTGTTTACAGAGTCCCTTGATGTTTGTGTTTACAGAGTCCCTTGATGTTTGTGTTTACAGAGTCCCTTGATGTTTGTGTTTACAGAGTCCCTTGATGATTGTGTTTACAGAGTCCCTTGATGATTGTGTTTACAGAGTCCCTTGATGATTGTTTTACAGAGTCCCTTGATGATTGTTTTTACAGAATCCCTTGATGATTGAGTCCCTTGATGATTGTTTTTACAGAGTCCCTTGATGTTTTTGATTGATTTTTCCCTTGATGATTGTTTTACAGAATCCCTTGATGATGATGATTGTTTTACAGAGTCCCTTGATGATTGTGTTTTACAGAGTCCCAGAGTCCCTGATGATTGTGTTTACAGAGTCCCTTGATGATTGTTTTACAGAGTCCCTTGATGATTGTGTTTACAGAGTCCCTTGATGATTGTTTTACAGAGTCCCTTGATGATTGTGTTTACAAAGTCCCTTGATGATTGTTTTACAGAGAGTCCTTGATGATTGTTTTTACAGAGTCCTGATGATTGTGTTTACAGAGTCCCTGATGATTACTTTACAGAGTCCCTTGATGATTGTTTTACAGAGTCCCTTTGATGATTGTTTTACAGAGTCCCTTGATGATTGTGGTTTTTAAGAGTCCCTTGATGATTGTTTTTACAGAGTCCCTTAATGATTGTTTTTACAGAGTCCCTTGATGATTGTTTTACAGAGTCCCTTGATGATTGTGTTCTACAGAGTCCCTTTGATGATTGTTTTACAGAGAGTCCCTTGATGATTGCTTTTACAGAGTCCTTTGATGATTGTTTTACAGAGTCCCTTGATGATTGTGTTTACAGAGTCCCTTGATGATTGTTTTTACAGAGTCCCTTGATGATTGTTACAGAGTCCCTTGATGATTGTTTTATAGAGTCCCTTGATGATTGTGTGTTTACAGAGTCCCTTAATGATTGTGTTTTACAAAGTCCCTTGATGAGGTTTTACAGAGTCCCTTGATGATTGTGTTTACAGAGTCCTTGATGATTGTTTTATTAGAGTTGATGATTGTTTTACAGATCCCTTGATGATTGTGTTTACAGAGTCCCTTGATGATTGTGGGCTTACAGAAGAGTCCCTTGATGATTGTGTTTAGAGTCCCTTAATGATTGTGTTTACAAAGTCCCTTGATGATTGTTTTTACAGAGTCCCTTGATGATTGTGTTTACAGAGTCCCTTGATGATTGTTTTACAGAGTCCCTTGATGATTGTGTTTACAGAGTCCCTTGATGATTGTGTTTACAGAGTCCCTTAATGATTGTTTTTACAGAGTCCCTTGATGATTGTTTTACAGAGTCCCTTGATGATTGTGTTTACAGAGTCCCTTGATGATTGTTTTTTCAATAGTTTATTACTGATTATAATTTAAAGATTACATTTGGATTATTTTATTTCAACGTATATCTCTCTCTCTCTCTCTCTCTCTCTCTCTCTCTCTCTCTCTCTCTCTCTCTCTACCTAACACACACACAACAACAACCATCTTACCGTGTGTCTGTAAGTGTGTGTTGCCTTGGCCAAGTTTGTTTCACCAAGTAACTCCGTCCCATCAGCAAACGTCTCTATATATATACTACACACTCGTTGTGAATGTGGCCCACAGAACAGATAGCATTACTACGATAGAATGCTTGATTAGTGCATTCTACCTTACGTAATCCTCCTTACTCATTGTGAAAGGGTGAGTGCTGGGTGTAGTGGATTATGCAGTTATCAAAATTTATGGAAGTGTCATTGTTTGAGGTGTGAGTGTAATAATAATAATTAACGGTTTATTGAAAGAGCATAGCAGCCAGAAGGCTGAAAATATACAGTTACACAATTGGGGAATAGGTTTCGATTTACAAATAATATACAAATAACATAAGTGATACAAATAAAATATATAATAACTAGATGGGGAAAAGCTCAAACTACAGGGCATTTCAACATAGTGACAGTGCAAGAAGTAGGATTTACTGGGAGTGAATACACTGGTTTATTACAAGTTATTGATAATTTTTACAATGGTTGGGACTGGGTTGTTCTTATAGCGATCAGTTCGTGCACGTATGGGCTGGATGCGGTTGTGGTGTCGAACAGCAATTCTCGGGCTAGGGATCTCAGGTGGTAGTAGGAGCCGGTGTCGAGGATGGTGTAGAAGCTTCTTACCAAATTTGCAGGTGAGGTCGTGGTGATGGTCAGTGAGAGTCGAAAGGGTCAGTGTGTTGAGCGCTTCTTGATATGTGGAGTAGGAAGGGGAGAGAATAATCTTGCATGCCCTCTTTTGCACTTTTTCTAGGTATTTACGTTGTGTGGCATTTAGGGAGGAAGACCAGGTAAGGGAGGCATAGGTGAGCTTGGGAAGTATGAATGTTGAGTAAACACTGAGGAGCTCGGGCGCAGGAACTCCGAGGGACTTGAGTCGGCGGAGGAGGTGGAGACGGAAACTGGAGGATTTGACAACTTCACTGACGTGTGGTTTCCAATTTAGTTTGTTGTCTATGGTGACGCCGAGGAGCTTCGTGGAATCTACAACCTGGAGTGTGTTGGGACCTAAAGTAATGGAAGGGGGTGGGACAATGTCGGAGGAGAGGTTGATGTGCATAACCATGGTCTTGGTATGGTTGATGGTGACGTGGTTGTTGGTGGCCCAGTTTTGGAGACTGTTCAATAAATCCTGAAGGGCGGTATAGTCGGGAGCAGAATTGTTGACGCTGATCCCAATGGTGGAGTCGTCGACATATTTCCAGCGAGCAGGGGTTTCTCTTAGGGCATCATTGATGAGCATAAGGAAGCAGAGTGGTCCCATCTTGGTGCCTTGGGGGACGCCACAGGTGAGTGACTGAAAGGTGGAGACAGCCCCTCGTAAGCGTACAGCTTGGCGTCGGTCTCTGAGGAAGTCTGTAAGCCATGGTATAAGACTTCTCCGAAGCCCGAGGTCAATAGCTTTGTTGATGATTAAATTGTGGTCGACTAGGTCGAATGCTTTAGTGAAATCAATGAAGGCGACAGCTACAGACGTTTTTCGTTTCTCGAGATGGCGGTATACTGTATGTAATCGCGAAAGCTGACAAGACAGTGAGTGGTGGAGGAAGTTTTCATTTTGCCAAATTGCTGAGGGTCTACGACTCCTGCAATATCAGCATAAGCCCAGTCGAACACAAAACTTTCACAGATTAGGCTGGGTATTGGGGAGATTGCAATAGGTCGTAGCTGATTTAAGGATTGTGGGCTGGTTGACTTGGGCACTGGTGATACATAAGAGGTCTTCCAGTCAGCTGGGCATGTTGCTTGACTGAAAGAAGCATTGATGATGGAGCAGAGGGGTTTAGCAAGCTCCGGGAAGAACTCCTTGAAGAGTTTCATTGGTAAGTCAATGGGGTTGGTAGAGCGTTTTAGCTTTAGTTTGTCCAGACGTTTTGCTACTTCAAATTCTTCTACTAAGTCAGTGGGAAGGGGGGCTGGTAGGTAAGCAGGGAGAGTGGTTGTGTCAAGCCGGGGGAGCGTCTGGCATATAGTAGCGAAATGGTTATTTGATTGCTCAGCTGCGTCAACATTAGTGAGATGGCTAAGGAAGGGGAGGGGGTGTATCTTATTGTTTAGTCTACAGAGTTCTTTAAGCTAACCATACCATTGACTGATGTTGGTCTGCTTCAGGTGTTGCAATTTGGTTGGGTAGTGGGACTTCTTTGCAGTGCGTATTTCGCGGATGACTCGTTTGCGAAGGGACCTGTAGCGGGTGTGGTCATTGAGATAAAAGGCTCTGTCTCTCTGTTGCATAAATCTTTTGATCCGAGGTGTCATCCAGGGCAAGTCAGCTGGGTGAGATCTGACGGACTTCTCGGGGAAGAAGTGGTGGTGAGCTTCCGTGGTGGTGTTGGTATAATTTTTCCATTTGGTTTCCACGTTATCCACGCTAAGTACTTCAGTCCAGGGATGGTGAGCTATCCACTGCCCGAAGAGGCGCACTGCAGAGTCAGTAATCGGCCTGTAGGTCTTGATGTAGGGTATCTGTACTTGCGTGGGAGTGGCAGCTGGGGACCAGAGCACTGATAAGTATGTGCTACACCCGATAGGAGGCATTGGTTGAGGTGGTTGGTACTGGTCCGCTAAGTCAGTTGAGATAAGGTCAAGGGTATTTTGGCCGTGTGTGGGGAAGGTCACAACTTGTGATAGTGATAGCTGGTCCTGGATATCAGTGGTGTCAATTTCATTATAATCCCCTCATAATACTAACTTGGCACATGGGTACCTAACTCTGAGGTGGTCTGAGGTGGTAATGAGATGATTGATTAGAGTGTCTCTGGTGGGTGAGCGAGGCGGATGGTATGCCACACAGATTATGATGGAAGCAGTGTGGCGCGGGTGGGCCCATGGCACAACACGTACCCATAATGCTTCCACATCTGCTGGGACTTGAACATCCAGGCGTGACGGGCGTAGGTCATCTTGACAGAAGAGGGCAACGCCCCCTCCGCGTCTATGTGAACGAAGGTGATGAAAGAGTTGATATCCCTCAATATGACACGTTTCAGGCACAATTTGCCAAGCCTCACATATGGCAACGACGCTCGCGGCGGTTGACCTGACTGTAGTTGCCAGCTCGTCGAACTTGTTAGCTAGGGAAGTGACGTTGGATAGCAGTAGAGACGGGAGATCATACCATATCCGTGGAACTTCAGTGAGGTGGTGTGGTCTGTCAGGGGTGGGTTTCTCCTGCTTCCTAGTGGAGGTTTCGGTCCTAATGGGCTTATGTGTATGACGGCCCTGTGTGTGTGTAATAATAATAATAATAAACGGTTTATTAATAGAGTTGCAGCCGGTGGCTGAAAATATACAGACTTACAGTACATTTGATTTAGACATAATGATATAATATGCATTGAATACATTTACAGGGCTGTACAGTACATAGATCAGGAGTTGTTTATTATTTTAACAATAGATGGGATGGTGTGTGTGTGTGTGTGTGTGTGTGTGTGTGTGTGTGTGTGTGTGTGTGTGTGTGTGTGTGTGTGTGTGTGTGTGTTTTGTTCCAACACATTTATGTGATAAAAATAATTTCCTTCAGCTGAAAATGTACACCTCAGGAAAAGTCAGTGCAGGTAACAGCAGGATAAGACCATTTGGTTTTGACAGAGTCCTTTGATGTTTGTGTTTACAGAGTCCTCTGATGTTTGTGTTTACAGAGTCCTTTGATGTTTGTGTTTACAGAGTCCTTTGATGTTTGTGTTTACAGAGTCCTTTGATGTTTGTGTTTACAGAGTCCCTTGATGTTTGTGTTTACAGAGTCCCTTGATGTTTGTGTTTACAGAGTCCTTTGATGTTTGTGTTTACAGAGTCCATAGATGTTTGTATTTTGAATAGTTTGTTACTGATTATAATGTAAAAATTACATTTGAACTTTAATATTCTCTCTCTCTCTCTCTCTCTCTCTCTCTCTCTCTCTCTCTCTCTCTCTCTCAATGTTGATGCCTTACGACGTTCTATTTTTTTTTTGTAATCTTCGTTTCATTTGAGCACCAATACCAAAAATAATAGTTCCAGTTTTTCAATATATTTTTTTTTTAGGATATTAAATTGGGTACTCGTAATTGGTACATTAATTCAGTGTAAGTAAGTAATCAGAGATGAAAATACAAAAGGCCTGTAGCCCTTCACACAATACAGAGTGTCTCAGAAAAACGTAAACAAGCTGCCTTACGGAGTTTCGTAGAGATCGCGTGATTTTTTTTTTATTACAACAGCAACATTGTTAAGGCAGTGTGTATACGAATTCCTGAGACACCCTGTTAGGCTTATAATGGATATTTTCATTGGTATTGAGGCACCGACTTAATAACCTAAACAAGGGTAGATTAGTGGAAGAACTAGTGTATCTGTATTTAACTTTAGAGTAACTTTTTTTTTATGTTGGTAAACAAAGCAGTAGAGAAGACGGAGACGCTCCAAATACCAAATATATATGTACTCCTGTTATATTGTACTTTTATTTACTTTACTTTTACTTTTTACTTTTACCTTCATCGCCACTGATCAGCTTGTTAGCGACTTGGGCGATCGGTCACGTCTCTGTTACGCACTGTTGGCAAGTACTGGGCATATACTGGCTCCTGAATGTACTGTATATGAACCTGGGTGCCGTTACAACACTTTCTGGCAGATTGTTCCAAGAGTTCACAACTCTCACTCCGAAAAATTTTGCCCTCACAGTTTTCTGGTGTTGCAGCTTTTTCATCCTTAAGCTGTGACTCGTTCTTTGGACACTTGACCAAGAAATATCTTCTGAGATGTTTATTACGTTCAATTAGGTCACCCCTTGCCTGTCTATAGTATAAGCTCGGCAGTTGCAGGCATTCTATTCTCTCTGGGTAGCCAATGTGCCGTAGTGCAGACACCAGTCTGGTGGCCCTCCATAGGACATTTTCCATCAACTGACAGTCCCTAGCATATCTCGGGGACCAGACGGGGAAGCACCTCACTCTTGATGATTTATGTGTGATCTCTTATCGCCTTCAACATCAACAAGATGAGTTTCTACACCAGGGAGGCGGAGAGGAAGTCGACACGGTACATTTATTAGTTGTTGTTGACAGCGTCTGATCTGGAACTACGCCACCATCCCTCATGCCCCGTTGCTTTCACTGTCCCCGTCTCTGCCCCTGTCTCAACCTCCGTCCCCTGTTCCCGCCACAACCTCCGTCCTTCTCCTGCTACAACCTCCGTCCCTGTCCCGCCACAACCTCCGTCCCTGTCACCGCCACAACCTCCGTCCCTGTCACCGCCACAACCTCCGTCCCCTGTCCCTGCCACAACCTCCGTCCCCTGTCACCGCCCAACCTCCGTCCTCTGTCACCGCCACAACCTCCGTCCCTGTCCCTGCCACAACCTCCGTCCTGTCACCGCCACAACCTCCGTCCCTGTCACCGCCACAACCTCCGTCCCCTGTCACCGCCACAACCTCCGTCCCTGTCACCGCCACAACCTCCGTCCCTGTCCCGCCACAACCTCCGTCCCTGTCCCCACCACAGCCCCGTCCCTGTCCCTGCCACAACCTCCGTCCCTGTCCCACAGCCTCCGTCCCCTGTCCCCACCACAACCCCCGTCCTGTCCTGCCACAACCTCCGTCCTGTCCAGGTCCTGTCCCTGTCCCTGTCCTGCCACAGCCTCCGTCCTGTCCCTGCCACAACCTCCGTCCCTGTCCCTCCCTGACCCCCCGTCCCTGTCCCTCCCACAACCTCCGTCCCTGTCCTGCCACAACCTCCGTCCCTGTCCTCCCACAACCTCCGTCCCCTGTCCGTCCTCCTGTCCCTCCCACAACCTCCGTCCCTGTCCCTGCCACAACCTCCGTCCTGTCCCTCCACAGCCCCCGTCCCTGTCCCTCCCACAACCCTCCAGGTCCCCTGTCCCTGCCACAACCTCCCTGTCCCCCACACCTCCGTCCCTGTCCCTCCGTCCCTGTCCCACCAAACAACCTCCGTCCTGCCACAGCCTCGTCCCGTCCCTGTCCCTGCCACAACCTCCGTCCCCTGTCCTGCCACAACCCCCGTCCTGTCTCTGCCACAACCTCCGTGCCCTGTCCCTGCCACAACCTCCGTCCCTGTCTCTGCCACAACCTCCGTACCCTGTCCCTGCCACAACCTCCGTCCCTGTCCTGCCACAACCTCCGTGCCACAGTCCCCTGTCCCATCCGTCCCCTGTCCTGCCACACCTCCGTCCCCTGTCCCCACCACAACCTCCGTCCCCTGTCCACTCCCACAACCTCCGTCCCCTGTCCCTCCCCACACCCCCGTCCTGTCTCTGCCACAACCTCCGTACCCTGTCCTGCCTGGCCTCCGTCCCTGTCCCCGCCACAACCTCCGTCCCTGTCCCCACCACAACCTCCGTCCCTGTCCCTGCCACCAAGCCTCCGTCCCTGTCCCCCTGATCCCCTGTCCCCCACCACAACCTCCGTCCCTGTCCCTCCCCCCTGTCCCCTCCTGTCCTCCCTGTCTCTGCCACAACCTCCGTGCCCTGTCCTGCCACAACCTCCGTCCCTGTCTCTGCCACAACCTCCGTACCCTGTCCCTGCCACAACCTCGTACCCTGTCCTGCCACAACCTCCGTACCCTGTCCTGCCACAACCCCGTCCCTGTCCTGCCATCCGTCCCTGTCCCCCCATCCTGCCCCACCACAACCTCCGTCCCCTGTCCCTGCCACAACCTCCGTCCTGTCCCACAACCCGTCCTGCCCCCCACCCTCCGTCCCTTGTCCGTCCCCTGTCCCTGCCACAACCTCGTCCCTGTCCCCCGTCCCTGCCAAGACTCTTATATTATTGTGTTTGGTTGGGTTACGTTGGGTTAGGTTAGGATAGGTTAGGATAGGTTGGGTTGGGTTAGGTTAGGTTAGTTATTCTTCAGGTGACGCCCATCATTACAGTGCAACATTGTTCCCTCCAACAGTGCCGAGATCAAATGTATCCCAGGCACTACACACCTAAAGCTTGTTATTGATGTATTCACTTGTTATTGGTGTAATTAATGAACGTGCATACAAGACAATGCCAGCTGTACACTACCTTATTATTTATGCTTGGAAGCTAATTTAGTAAACAATGACACCCGTGAATGCATGTTTTCGGGTTAGCTGTGTAAATAGTTTTAGCGTCGTAGTACTTAAATAATAATCCAATCGCGATATAAAGGGTACAATTATATATATTTAAGTAAATACAAATTACAAATGGTTAGTAAATCCTTTGAGTGTCGAAATATTAGAGGATAAATTTGTGTATAGAAAATATTTTAGAACACTGCGTATACGCTGAGAAATATCGCGTATATTAAGAGACACAGACAGAGAGAGAGAGAGAGACATACTTGTGCAATGAGAGAGCATCACTGACCTGAATTATCAACTTTCATTTCTGAGTGAGAGACAGAAAGGTGGAGAATGTAAGAGAGAGAGAGAAAGGGTACAGATGTGCATCAATGATTGGCATTCATGTGCAGTACCCCAAAGTGTGTGTGTGTGTGTGTCGGGTCCCCCTAGTTTACTGTCTACTCCGCTGTGTCCGGTTCAATCAGGTGTGTGTATGTGACCATTCCCCGTGAGAGGCCAGATGGTTTGTGATATGGCAGTATTTTAAGTGACCTGGCGGCGTTTTTAATTCTCTCTCTCTCTCTCTCTCTCTCTCTCTCTCTGCCACATACGACAACACACATTCACCTCCACCCAAGACTCCACCACACACGTTCCCTGTCCTATCTGTCTGTCCGTTCTGAAACACTCTGAATGAAACTTGTACCAGTCCCGTTTCTTCGGTACATTTGACCTCGCATCATAGGTCAAGGTCAGAGGTCAACTTATACTCTGACTAAGGCATCGGTGACATGTGGCAGCCGTATGTGGGACAATACAACGCACTATGACACCTGTTAGACCAACACACACTTACAAACCTGTCTTATCTACCTTATTTATCTAATGGCCTGTGTAACATCCCTGAATTGTTTAGAGTTACTGTATTTTGAAGCCCGGTAATACTTGGTGTTTCCAGTAGAGTCTTTATGTTAGCAGTATCTGGTGGTCTTATGGCCAAGCGGTCACCCACCCAAGAACTAACCAGACCCAATGTTGCTTAACTTCGCTGGACAAGAAGCGGTGTTTCTGTGACTCCACAGCTTGGGTTGGTTACACCGTTCCTTAAGTCTACCAGCCACTGTGTGAAGAAGTATTTCGTTATGTTCGTTCGGCATGATATCTTGGTGAGCTTGTAGTTATGTCCTCTAGTGTTGGTGGTGCGTGACATCACAAAGACATGTCCCGGGTTCACGTTTTCCGTCACTTTCAAGGTTTGGGATGTTTCTATGACATCTGTCCCATTGTGCCATGTCTGAAAGGTTGTTAGTCCTAAGGCCCTCAATCTACTTGGATAATCAAGATGATATAGTTTGGAATCATCATAGTTACTTTGTTTTGCACCATTTATAGGGATGTTAGGTCTTACTGGAGGTAGGGTTTCCATGCCTGTATACAGAAATCCACACTGGGACGTACTTGAGATTTGTACAGTTGAAGGAGCATTTTTCCTATCTTTGTTTTCAAAAGTACGCTTTATAGTTCCCAAATCTCGATTTGCTTTCTTCATTGCTGGGGCAGCAGTTGTACCGCCGTGAGTGACTGATCTATCACAACGCCAAGATTCTTCTCCGTGTCGACAGTATCCAGATAATAGTTGTCATTAAGGTTGTATCCTACGTGCAGAGTCTTATATTCCGTAATGTTAAAGAGCATTTGTCAGTCTCGAGGCCATTTGAACAGCTCATTCAGGTCTTTCTGCATTATTGCCACATCGTCTTCACTTGCTACCTTCCCAAATATCTTCGTATCGTCTGCAAACTTGACAATGTGTCTCGATATATTTTTTCTCTGTTGCTTATGTAGATCACAATCAATGCGGGTCCAAGGATAGAGCCTTGTGGTATTCCTCTGAGAAGCTTTTATCCATTCAGAATGTACTTCATTTATTACCACTGTTTGTTGCCTGTCTTCGAGTCAGTTGTTAATCCACGTTAAAATCTTGCCTGTGATGCCATGTGCCTGGATCTTAAGAGGCTAGTGGTGCATGTGGGACTGTTAAATGCCCAGGAGAAATTCATGTACAACACATCCACTGGTAAGCCTTAGTCCACATAGTGTGTTATCGTTGTCAGGCAAATCTCGTTGACCACCTCCTTCTCGTTGACCACCTCCTTCTCGTTGACCACCTCCTTCTCGTTGACCACTTCCTTCTCGTTGACCACCTCCTCCTCGTTGACCACCTCCTTCTCGTTGACCACCTCCTTCTCGTTGACCACCTCCTCCTCGTTGACCACCTCCTTCTCGTTGACCACCTCCTTCTCGTTGACCACCTCCTTCTCGTTGACCACCTCCTTCTCGTTGACCACCTCCTCCTCGTTGACCACCTCCTCCTCGTTGACCACCTCCTTCTCGTTGACCACCTCCTTCTCGTTGACCACCTCCTTCTCGTTGGCCCTCCTTCTCGTTGACCACCTCCTTCTCGTTGACCACTTCCTTCTCACCTCCTTCTCGTTGACCACCTCCTTCTCTCCTCCTCGTTGACCACCTCCTTCTCGTTGACCACCTCCTTCTCGTTGACCACCTCCTTCTCGTTGACCACCTCCTTCTCGTTGACCACCTCCTTCTCGTTGACCACCTCCTTCTCGTTGACCACTTCCTTCTCGTTGACCACCTCCTCCTCGTTGACCACCTCCTTCTCGTTGACCACCTCCTTCTCGTTGACCACCTCCTTCTCGTTGACCACCTCCTTCTCGTTGACCACCTCCTCCTCGTTGACCACCTCCTTCTCGTTGACCACCTCCTCCTCGTTGACCACCTCCTTCTCGTTGACCACCTCCTTTTCGTTGACCACCTCCTTCTCGTTGACCACCTCCTCGTTGACCTCCTTCTTGTTGACCACCTCCTTCTTGTTGACCACCTCCTTCTCGTTGACCACCTCCTCCTCGTTGACCACCTCCTTCTCGTTGACCACCTCCTTCTCGTTGACCACCTCCTTCTCGTTAACACCTCCTTCTCGTTGACCACCTCCTTCTCGTTGACCACTTCCTTCTCGTTGACCACTTCCTCCTCGTTGACCACCTCCTTCTCGTTGGCCACCTCCTTCTCGTTAACCACCTCCTTCTCGTTAACCACCTCCTTCTCGTTGACCACCTCCTTCTCGTTGACCACCTCCTTCTCGTTAACCACCTCCTTCTCGTTAACCACCTCCTTCTCGTTGACCACCTCCTTCTCGTTAACCACCTCCTTCTCGTTAACCACCTCCTTCATCACCTTCAACTGCGCCTTGTCCTCTGTAGGGGCTTAGGGTTCTGCCAAGCTGGTTAGTTTCCATCACTGGGGTATGCATTCCAGGTACTGACACGTCATCCATTGTTCTTGTGTGAATACTGATGCAGAGTATTCATTTAAGGGCATCTCTCTCTCTCTCTCTCTCTCTCTCTCTCTCTCTCTCTCTCTCTCTCTCTCTCTCTTCTCTTTATGTTCTCCTTTGTAATTTCTTTTTTTCTTTCTCTCTCATTTCCTGTTTTAACATTTACTTTCTGTTTCTCCTACCCTCTATATATCTCCCCACTTCTCTCTCATCATGCTCACCTGGAGAAAGCTGCTACTACTACCTACCTGCGTCTAATTACCACGAGAAGCATGACAGAATTCCTCTCTCCGGGTTTCACTTTTTCTATGTCTGAATAATACATAACACCTTCAATGTAACCTGACTGCTTTCCGGTAGAGTGCAGGAGAACATTTTTGCTCTCTCTCTCTCTCTCTCTCTCTCTCTCTCTCTACAACATAAGACAACAGACAAATGAAATCCTCAGTTACCTTACGCCAGCTCCTAAGACCTTGAGAACCTAACCTAACCTTCCTGCAGTGACTGTTCGTGGCTGACAAGTTTTTATTAGAATGAACCTTTTTTTTTTTAGGGAAAGGAAGGTGAAAGAAGATTAGAGGTGGGGGAAGGAAGTTATAGTTCGGAAATTGAAGAAATTTAGGAGGAGGTAAGAGAGGGCGGGCTGACCGCCTATCTTAGCTAATGGTGTGTTAGGGTTGTGTCATGGGTTAGTTATTGTCTGCCGGTACAGGCACTAGACTGCCTACCCTGTCCCATATATGGGTGTTTTAAGGGCCTTATTTCATATTCCGTTGACTCTACTGGCGGATGCTGGTCTAGGGAGGTTGTCTATTGCTTGGCCGTGTAGATCGGGGGTGGTAATGGATCTTTTGAGATTTGGTAACCTTTTTGGGAACCATGTATGGTTGTTGTCGTTATCTGGTGGGAGTCTTTGAAGGAGTTCTTGCTCTGATCGTTCTATCTTTTGCCAGACACTGCTGGCCAGGGTGTGCAGCTGCTGGTTGATGGGTTTTATTCTCAGGTCTCTATGTATCTCGGCTGTGGTTCTGATGAAGTGGTATCTTTCACCTGTGACGAATCTTAGGGCTTCATTTTGAACCACCTGTAATTGTTAATATTTGAGTGGTGCTCATAGTATGAAGAGGTACTGCTGGGTAAGTTAATATCGGTGTGATAAATGATGTCACCGGGCGGAGTTTTATTTTCTCAGGAAGCGCTTTAAAGCGGTATAGTTTTCTCAGCTCTCTTCTGCCTTTTCCATCCTGGTGTGGACATGATGGGAGTAACCTGTCGTGGATATATGCAGGCCCAGGAGGGTGCCTCTGCTTTTGTATTCTATCTGGGCATTATTGGTTACTAATGGATGGGTTTTCCTTCTGCATAAGGAGGGTATCACTGTGAATTTCGGGAGACTGGTTTGGATTTTCCATTCTTTTTCATAATTATTTACCCTTTCTAATTCCCGCTTGGTGTTTTCGGCCTGAAACGCTCGCGATTTTCCTTGATGTGTTGTTATTTGAGTGATGTCATCTGCATACATAATATCTTCGTTACCTATTCTAGTCGGAGGCGGGGTGTCACTTGTGTAGATAATATATAGGGTGGGGGAGAGGACGCTCCCCTGAGGGACTCCGCTCATGAGTGGGAAGGTCTCTCCTGTGTGTTGTCCTGTCCGCAGTCTGGCATTTCTGCCGCCAAGAAAGTTGCAAAGCAACTTTTCAATGTTGGTGGGAAGTCCGAGTTGGAGGATCTTATATTTTTGACCGTCATGCCAGACTTTGTCAAATGCCTTCGCTACATCCCGGAGAGTTAGATTACATTGTCTACCACTCGCCGCGGCTCTGGCTGTTTTCACATGCCAGGGCTATCGCTGTTGTGGTGGACTTCTCTTTCCTGAACCCGAATTGTCTGCAGTTGACTCGGTTGGTTGTTTCCAGGTGATTTCTCAGACGGTTATTGATGATTTTTTCTAGGATTTTTCCAGGTACTTCGACGAGAGAGATCGGTCTGTAGTTTAGTGGGACGGAGGGGTTCTTTCCTTGTTTTGGTGTTAGGGTAATAATGGCCTCTTTAAATTTAGTTGGGAAGTAGCCCGAGGCCAGGCAAGCGTTCATTGTGGTTCTCAGTCTCTCCATGGCCGGGTTGTTTAAGTGGCTGAGGATCTCCTTGGTGATGCCTGAATAGCCAGGGGCTTTATTTTTGGTATTGGAGATGGCTGTGTTGAGTTTCCGAGGTGATTGATTTGGACAGTGGGCTGTCCGCTCTCAGATCCTCTCATATAATTTCAGGGGAAGGCTGAGTGCGGTGTGTCTGGCCCCGGAGCTCATCAAGGACGAGCTCCTCGTGAGTACCATCAAATCCCCTGTTCTCTTCATTTGTGATTCGAAGATGTTCCTCCATATGTCCCTGAATATGGGTTCTTTGTCTTGGTCGTCATATATTTTACTTCCTGTTTGGTCAGTTATATATGATGACTCGTCACGGCTGCAACCTTTCAGTCTCTTAGCTCGACGCCAGAACTCTCCTGGGTCGTTGTATGTATGTGAGAGTTGTTCAACTATTTCGGCCCATTTAAGGTTACTTTGTTCCAGCGAACTTGTTTTTATTTCCTCCCGGATTCTTCTGTATGTATTGTAGCTTACGATGTCCCAACCATGGGTCTCGGCTCTCTGTTGTAGCAGTTGGAACTGTTTTCTGAGGGCTATGAGTTCTGGAGTCTGTCGTGGGTGTGGGGGAGTTCTGTTGCGTTTGAGAGGCGTGGCCTCCTGGTAGGCTGTTCCTATGGCTTCACACCATGTGTTGATTTCTTTGTCTATTTTGTTCACCGGCTGGTTGTCTATGGTCTGCAGGATTGTCATGTCCTTGGCCTCAAGTTCGGCTGTAGCTTTTTCGTTGAATAGTTCCCAGTTGGTCTGCTTGGCGATTCTCCGTGGTGGAGCTGGTATAGTTATTGGTGTTGCTGAGATGGTCATGATTATAGGTAGGTGGTCGCTGGAGGTTACAGGGCCTTGTTCAGAGAAACAGTTGTGGAAGCATCTGCCGTTTGTTATTGCTATATCTGGAGTAGTGGCTGAGTTCCTACTGTAGAACGTGGGGAAGTCCGGGCCTATTAGTTGGGCTTTTTTTGTCTGTTATGAAGTCAGTTAACGTAAAATCAGACGCTTCACATTACTCTCAATAGCCCACAACACATGTAGCTATGTCTTCTTTATTGAGTCCCCCATCTGAGGCGACCGTTTCTCATCGCTTCAGGACGCCTGAGTCCTTCGTTTTCCCTAGCTTAGGTGCCGTCCATTTTCTCTGACTTCCTGAAACCAGCCTCTCTATAAAGTAAATTTGAATGTGAGAGAGAACACCATTGTGTTGATTCAACTTAGATAGGTCTGATTACAGTTAAAGCATTGAAGATCCTTTGTGAGTGATGTTGAAAGCTTCAACTGTGGTAATATCGACAATATTTTCCTAGATTTTGCCAAGGCTTTCGACAGTGTACCCCACGAAAGGCTGAAAATCAAACTGGAAAGGTACGGAATTCTGGGAAATGTCCTAGCGTGGATAGAAGACTTTCTACATGACCGCAAGCAGTGTGTGGTGATTAATGGCACGAAATCATCATCCGTACCTGTCACAAGCAGGGTACCACAGGGCAGTGTATTGGGCCCGCTGTTGTTTGTTTGTTTCATAAATGACATGCCTGACGTTGTACATTCCTCCATACAAATGTTTGCCGATGACGCCAAGTTATTTCGGGAAATCAAGAACCAAGCGGACTGTGAAGAGCTGCAGAAGGACCTCTGTGGGCTCCAAGAATGGTCGAAGAAATGGCTGCTGAGATTCAATGTCACGAAGTGTAAGAGGATGCACCTGGGGCGTACCAACGGTAAGGAGGCGTATCATATGTCCCAACGGGATGAAGAAAATGCACTAGTTGAGACTGTGTGTGAGAAGGACCTAGGTGTGTATGTTGACAATGAGCTGAAGTTCTCGGGCCATTGCGAGAAAGTAAATCAGGCTAATAAATTATTGAGTCTTATAAGAAGGTCATTCAGATATCTAGACGATCTGTCCCTCGTAACGATCTCCAAGAGTGAAGTGCTTCCCCATCTGGAGTACTGTCACCCCGTCTGGTCCCCGAGATATGCTAGGGACTGTCAGTTGGTTGAAAATGTTCAAAGGAGGGCCACCAAACTGGTGCCTGCACTTCGGCACCTCAGCTACCCTGAGAGATTGGAGCGCCTGAACTTGCCTAGCTTATACTACAGACGGGCAAGGGGTGACCTAATTGAGGTGTATAAGCATCTCAGGGGGCACTACTACATCCTTGACCACCGAAGGGTCAAGACGTACCTGGCGCTCCTCTCGGAGCAGCCAGGTCAACTGTTATGTTGGCCCATACCAACTCCCTCCCCTGAACCCTCCTCCCCACCGGAATATCAGCAAGCTCACGCCAGAAGTTACTATTTCATTTAGGAAAGAAATGGAACCAGTGTTAAACAGAGGTGAACAGTGGTGAACAGTGCTTAAGTCAGTGAGAACAACTCAACAGTAACAGTGGTACCCAAGTTGACCTTTCACACAGTGAGGTCCCAGGTACCCAGTGATAACGGCCCGTGAGACCCAACTACCAGCGATGTGTTAATCCGTCTACGATAGGAAGGCCTGGAACCACACCTCACTCATATAACACCATCTGTGAGGGAATTACTACACCACGTGAGGCCCCTCATAACACCATATGTGAAGGAGTTACTACACCACGTGAGGCCCCTCATAACACCATCTGTGAGGGAATTACTACACCACGTGAGGCCCCTCATAACACCATCTGTGAGGGAATTACTACACCACGTGAGGCCCTCATAACACCATCTGTGAGGGAATTACTACACCACGTGAGGCCCCTCATAACACCATCTGTGAGGGAATTACTACACCACGTGAGGCCCCTCATAACACCATCTGTGAGGGAATTACTACACCACGTGAGGCCCCTCATAACACCATCCTACACCTGATAACACCATCTGTGAGGGAACTACTACACCACGTGAGGTCCCTCCTAACACCATCTGGGAGGGAGTTACTACACTACGTTTTTGCTGTTCAACACCTACATTAATCTGTATGTTCACTGTATGTTCCTTTACCTTTCTCTAACGAAGGCTTTTGTTGAACCACCAATGTATGTAATAAGTCATTTATGTCCAATGTATATTTTCAGCCTTCGGGCTGCAGAACTTTTTCAATAAACCGTCAATTATTATTATTATTTATTATTTACTCAGTCGAGTGTCCTTACTTGGAGCTGGCGGACGCTCGCCCCACAAGGGGTCACAGCTCAAGATTGAAGAAGCCGCAAGTCCAGAAAACCGTGAGGGCAAACTTTTTCGGAGTGAGAGTTGTAAACTCTTGGAACAATCTACCAGAGAGTGTTGTGACGGCACCGAGTGTGAGCTCTTTCAAGAGAAGACTTGACCAACGCTGGAGCAGGTTCAGGTACATTCAGGAGCCGGTGCATGCCCAGTACTTGCCAACAGTGCGTGACAGAGACGTGACCGATCGCCCAAGCGGGTAACGAGCCGATCAGTGGTGAGGAGGATAAAAGAAAAGAAATAGTTCTATTGTTACTGTGTTACCTTCCCATTTGTGGGTAATTCTTCGTAGTTGGAGATACACAGTGGGTAAATTTGGCGTTTCTTAAAAATTAGCAAAAATAATAATCCACAACTCCTGCTATTAACTTGTTATTAAGACATTCCTCTTAATCACAAAATACCAACAATATAAACCAAAAAATCATCAAACATGTGTACTCTGGTGAGGTCCATGCTTAGTGACACCGGTACAAGCTTAGTGACACCGGTACAAGCTTAGTGACACTGGTACAAGCTTAGGGACAACTGGTACCTCTGCTTCCCTGGTAATCTGAAGGTAAACTTTTAATTAAACTATACAGTAATACGTCATTAGAACTCTCCGCTTATTTGGAAGAACTAAAGTATTGCTTAAGCTTTACTTTCTTTGCCGATTACAATGGAAATTACTGATTGTTTTTATTGAGAATTCATTCCATGTAAAATAAGACAGATTGGATATGAACAACACATAGACAATAGTACATAATAATAGAACTGATGATAACACAAAATATAAAGAATTATTCACAATGTGGGTTTTATACTCAGAGTACAGTACAAAGTGCCTTAAGATATATTATAACTGTGTGGTCTGAGAGCTCCCCCAGCTTGGTTAGGTCAGTTTAGAATAGGTTAGGTCAGGATAGGTAAGGTTAAAATAGGTTATGTTACAATAGATTAAGGTTACAATCGGTTAGGTTATGATAGGTTAGGTTACAATAGGTTAGAGAAGGTTAGGATGACAAAAATTATTAATAAAAATATCAATTATATATTATGGTATTATTTTACTTTCAGACATAGTGCCTCCAAAAGTTATAAACTCATGAAACATTTAGAGCTCCCTATTCTGAGCATTTTGTATCCCATATATACCTGGCGGAAATGGATACTAGCGACACAATTGAATTTAATTGATTTTAAGTAGTTTTCAGTCTTCATCTGTGAGATAATGTTATCAGTGCGTCACGCATGTGCAATGTTAACTGACATCATCCAGTCGTGACCAATGAGGTATCGATATCTTCATGTAATTTTTTTTCGACCAATCACATTTGAATTTTTTCAAAGGAAGCAGCCAAGGTAATTTCATTGACCAGTCTCACATTGGCTGTGGTGGAGGTTGTTGTCGTTTGTGCTCCTATGATTATCTTAAGTTTATTGTCGAGTTTTATGAGAAAGACGATTTCTTACTATCCCTGGTCCTCCCACTTCTAACTAAGGTATTGTACTTTCAGACACGGCACGCCCCAAAGTTTTTAACTACTGAAACATTTAGGTTAGTTTAAACTAGGCCTACCGCCCCCGGCTAGGGGTCAGGTTAGGCCTACCGGGGGTCCCGGCTAGGAGTTAGGTTAGTTAGGTTAGGTTTTGTTTGGTAAGATGACTCGCTTTCGTCTTCACCCCCACCCAAAAACCCTGATTTCCCAGGCTCCCCCATTATCATTGAGGGGGGGGGGGGGCAAAAACGAGCAATTTCCGCCGTAAAATGAAGATCAGATTTGTTTAAAACACATCAAATTACACTGGAAAAACATAGTGGTCAACCCCTAGGGACTCATATCCTAAAGTAAAAATGTACTTATAGTATTATCAAATAACTTAACAACCTCTCTTAACCTAACTGGGGAAGGTTCAGACCCTGGCCTTAACAGCTACTTTACCTAAATTATTCCATTGAAGATAGAAGTTTTTTTGCTTCGACAAACTTACAAAATATGCAATAGAAGTGTTTTTGAGGTCAGGGTAAAGAATCATTTTGTGCCATAATGGGAATTTGAAAAGGGAAAGAGGTTTTTTCATTTTTCTCAAAGTGATTTGAATGAAAATGACCTTTATTTCTTTTGCTAATGCTTATATAAGAGATATGACCATGATTTACACAAAGTGGGAAGGGCTTGAAGATGAATGAAAGTGTGGGGTTAAAACTCACACATTCTATAAACACTAAACATACCTTTGAAAACCAGACCTAGCCCTCCCTAACCTAGAAATGGCCTAATTCTATAAATAACTTACCCTACTTATACTATGGGGGAGGAAATGCTGGAGAATTGTGTTGTGGTTGGATCATATTCATATTATTTGTTATTTTTAACCATTTCAATACTGATCGGCTCCTTAGCCGCTTGGGTGGTCGGTCATGTCCCCGTTATACACTGTTGGCAAATACTGGCGTGTACTGACTCCAGAATGTACCTGAACCTGCTCCAGTGTTGGTCAAGTCTGGTCTTGAAAGAGCTCACACTCTGTGCCGTCACAACACTCTCTGGCAGATTGTTGCTTGAATTTACAATTCTCACTCCGAAAAAGTTTGCCCTCACAATTTTTTGAACTTGTGGCTGCTTCATCCATAAGCTGTGACCTCTAGTAGGGCAGTAATGTCCTCTGAGGTGTTTATAGACTTCTATTAAGCCACCCCCTTCCTTGCCCATAGTATAAGCTAGGCAGTAGCAGGTGTTCTAATCTCTCTGGGTACCCAAGGTGTCGTAGCACAGGCACCAGTCTGGTGGCCCTCCCCTCCAGACGGGAAGCACCTCCCTCACTTTTGAAGAACATTATGAGTAATGGACCGTCTAGGCATTATCTTTAATTTACAATAAATTCTTTGCCTGCATCAGGGTGCAACAGATTTTAACACAATGTAATCTATCATTATAGTACTTTATACACATATCATACATGATTTCCATGTGCTGTACTGTACTGGGATTATTGTTGTGTCAAGCTGTGTTAAGTTTTGTCATTGCAGTTGTTAATGTACTGTACAGAATAACATTTAATTATAGGTATGCAAAGTAAAGGTGTAGATATTTTTTTCATCACTAATATTGCTTCTGTTTTACTTATTATTATTATTACCGGTATTATTATTATTATTATTATTATTATTATTATTATTATAATAATACTGTAAGTGTTTTATCATCTTAAATATCAGTTGTTTAATATTTACCTCTTGAATATACAGCTCCTCCCAGACTTACGAGACTTACGACCACCCGCACTTACGACCTGCTTCAGTCGTACCAAAAATTTGTCAAATTACGTATTTCTGAGTCCCAACTTTAGTACACAGACAAAATTTTTGTTTGTAATTCACTTTAAAATGGCTGGCAAGCTTAAAAGTGAGAGTTTTGTGGTGCTGAGAAGAAAAAGAGACCCCTATTTTAGATTTTCTATGTATTATTTTCTATGTATTATTTGGGTCCCTAACCCCGTCATAAGTCAGGGAGGAGCTGTATACAATACAGTACAGTACTTTTAATTGTCACTGGCACTCCTTTGTTTGTTAATCTTACATCATAACTCCCTGTACCCTATAAGATATTTTGTTAATACAGTGGGGTATGCTATAACGAACGGATCCTACTACGAATATTCCTATAACGAACGGTTTTACCTATAAAATTGAGAATGCTATAACGAACGAAACTCCTATAACGAACATAATTTAATTTTTTTTTTTTTCTAATTTATTGTTTTATTATTACAAATATTAATGATATTCTTTATTTCAGGGGTTTAGATGCATATTTATGCACTTTTTTACAATTTTTACAATTTTATATTATATTTTTCAGTGTTAAGTGGTTGTATTTGGGGGCCTGGAACGGATTAATCCTATAACAAACGAATGCTATAACGAACAAGGTTCTAGAACCAATTAGATTCGTTATAGCATACCCCACTGTACTGTGCAAGATACTATATTAGACTGTACAGGTAATAAAAAAGATTAGATAAACTTGCCTTAATTCGACTGAACAGAGAGTTTTGTTGCTGGACTAGTGTAATTATTAATCTTATTATGCACTTAAAGACCTAAGGTGTAGTAATAATATTATACATCAGCTGTGATCAAAATTTACAACTTTTCAGGGTGATGATGGCAACTGTCCAAGCCTTCACTCACACTCAGAGGGTCAGAGTCCTGTACAAGACTATTCTCAAGCTTCACCGTGGCTTACCTCTTGAGTTGAAGGCTCTAGGTGAGAGACTTAATGACTGTTAATCATGACCGCACTATCCCAAAACCTTGTTCAGTGTGTGAGAGCTTTTTGTAACCACACTATCCCATAACTGTACTTGTCCAGTGATATTGATATTGAAACAGTTTATTTAGCCAGAAGAACACAGATACAGAGTGGATTACAAAATTCATAATATTAACATGGCTGAGCCAGTTGAGAGCCTGAGCTCTCTTGAAAGCACCTCATATATACTGTACATCTATCTCAAGGAAGTATTATGTAACATTTAATATCATCTGGAATAGTACACATAGCATGGTGGTACTGTAATAAGAACATATCAGAAAGTTACCACGGTTATCACTTCGATATTTATTTATTTTATTTTTTATTTTTTTTATTTATTTTTTTTTACATTTATATTATAAGTATATACATAGGTTACAGTGGAAATTGAAAAACATAAATTTGATAAGGGAGGGAAGTTATACAACATGGGTTGTGTTAACGTTGAGCACGAGTACAGAGCTATGAGGATTATGTCTAGTTGGCAAATACACCCTTTGCAAATGTTCACCTCTTTTCTATCTACATGATAATTCCTGATAAAACAGAATTGATGGTACAATAAAGGCAGGTATATAAAGTAGGCATTACAAAAATATTAATACTTAGATAATAGATATTTTTAAGAGATGATTTAAAGGAAGGGAGCGTAGTCTTTGCACAGATGGGTGGGGGCAAGTTGTTCCACACCTTGACACCAGGATATTTTATGGAGGTCTGGGACTGAGTGGAGCACATGGGGGGTGGTCTTAGTAGCTCATGGTTCCTTAAGTTATATCTCTGATTATTCCAGAACTGGAAATAATTGTTGTCAAGCAAGTGATTGACAGATTTGTAAACAAATAGGGCACAGCCCCATTGTTCATTGAATACTAAGACTTCATTACAATACATTGGGGCAAATGCTGTATATACTCAACCTCTCCTCCCCATACCCATCGTAACAGAGCTAAAAACATTGAATTAAATTGGATTAAACGTAATTTATTATATTTGTAAGAGCAAGGTGTAGTGCGGGTCGTGTCGTGTTGCGTCTCTATAACAATGTAGCGGAAATTGGACAGCATTTACATATGAGCATCAAGATCGTCTTAGTGATGTGTTTGTATAAATCGATGTTGGATTTTTAACATTATTCACAATTGTATATTGAAAAACTCTCTACTGACTGGAGGAATAGGCTGTGAGGTATACAACCACAAAACTATTGCCATATAGCAAAATTTATTCAGAAAACTTTAAATGAGTTGCATTCATGGCTGTGATTGGCCATCCAAAGGCCAATCAGAGAGAGTAGTATTGTGCCTTTAGCTAAGACAGTCCATAGTGACAACAGTGACCACAGTGGAGGCTGATAATAAATTGAAGTGAAAAACAAAATTGGGACAAGCAACCATACACCAGTATCTGGGAGTAACCAAGACATATTATCGGTGCCACAAAGAAAGTTTTTATTTCGTCTGTGTTTTCTAAAGGACTATAATTATGCTTACGATCCACCATTAATAGGGAGATACAGTGTACATAGTGATAGCTCATAGATACCAACAACTCGTTGAGGAGAACTAAAAAAAAACAGAAAACAAGTTAAACCCTTGAACGTATTATTAATGAATTTTATTGCTCATTTTGCACACATAAACATTAATTCAATAAAAAAGACATTCAGTAATAAACAATAATGAATCTTTTGTACATAAGAGAAATGACGCTGTTTACACAATTATGCACGTCGTCTGCACGTTGGCGGGCCGTTCAAACCCGTCGAAATTCAAGTTTCCGCCGTCAAAATTTTTATTTATTTATTTTTTTGTGTGTTCCAATAAAATACGTTAAGAATTAAAAACTCGTGAAATTTGAGAAGCTACTATACGACATTTAACCCTTCAATATGTCTTCAAAGAGACCATGACGCAGAGAAAGTGGTGCTAGTGCTTCCAGGCATAAGCACAAGTCACTATCTATCCAGGAAAAGGGTGAATTTCCATGGTCCGGCAATTTCCATGGTCCGGCACCGGTCAGGTCCCGAGGTTGCCGGACTAGATAGGTACAACCGGTAAAAGTAAGTCTGTTTTTATGACTGGGAGGAGCTGTAGTTGGCAGATGTGGGTTTTCACTTCATTTTTTTTTTCAGCCATTACAAACATTGTAGATACCACCGACATTTATATGTTAATTGTTGGTTATTTTAATGCTTAGGGTTGGTAAAGTATCAAAATAAATGTGAAATGTCAAAAACTGCAATATGAAGAAAAAAAATTACTTATTAAGAAATGGTGAGTCATAGCCATAAATAAGTTAATGAGAAAATATATGGTCATTGATATTCATAGTTAAGTTTGTTTCAGGTGATCAATACATTCGTGATGAGTTTCAGCGCCACAAGGAAGCAGCACCAGAACAAGCTCAAGCCTTCATGGTAGAATGGACAAATTATGCCGTTACCATGGCCAAGCAACTGGGAATTCGAGGCACTCACACCGCCAAGACTATTGGCAAACCTTTAAAGGAAGGGGAGTTAGACAACTTTACTGGTGAACAGATTTATCAATTATTTGAACTACATGAAGCAGCAACAAAGCCAGAAGCTGATGTGACAAACAGCATGAGCGACAAATAACACAAATAATGTTAAGTAAAATTACTCTTCTCAGTAATATTTTATAGGCACTGTACTCATGAAAACAGTCGAGATAATCTTTCTGCAACAAACAGTTTGCTTGCACAGCTTAAAGGTATTATTTGATGATGCTGTCATGTCCTGCAGATGAGCTTGGCTTTCATCTTATAAATGATCACCAAACACAATCATACTTTTAACTCTTTGGTGGCAAAGACTTGAACATTTTTGGTGACTGACCAGGTGATGGATTTTCAGGATTGTCAAAAAAAATCTGAAAGAATACTTGATCAGAAACTAGCCATGTGGTTGTTGCTTTAAGGTTAGCTAAGGGCAATGGTCCTCACCTTGTACCTTTCTCCATTCTTTTAGCTTCAGACTTTTATTCTTCTTTTAGAATATTTAAAGTTTAAAATCTTTGCTCCTTGCAGTACAGTATAATCACCCATCTTATTGAGGTTCATTTTTTACCACTTATTTATTTATTTATTTATTGGGAAAAATGTATTTGATGTGAGAGGACACAACTTAATTCTGTTTTGAATGATGATTACTCACAGTATATTATACTTGCTGGCCAGGGATCCACATACAGTGCAAGCCCAAATCATGGCTAATGGTTCAGTAATGGGCAGAAAAAACAAAATGCAACAATTGTGTAGGTCATTCTAGAAGGTTCTAATCATCCATAAAGGGTTAAATAGAAGTAATCTTTTAAGAAGAGTTATAAAAATATCAGGATGATCTCTATCTACAACAACTGGTTTGCCTACATAGTTGACAAGAAGATACCAACTTAAAGGTTATGCTGTCATGTCCCGAGATTAGCTGATCCTTCATGTTATAAATGATTACCATACACATTCATTGTTTTAAACTTGTCAAGGATGACATTTTAAGGCGGCTTCACACTGGCATTCTTTCGTCAATTTTTTTTTGTCAACTTTCAGAAAATCGTCAAACTTTTTGTTGTTCACCTTCACACTCGTTAAGAACCAACTCGCCAGTTTCCCTCATTCAACAACTGTCAACAAACAAGATGGCTCCAACTGATGAAGAAAGCTCAGTAATTCTACACCTTTTTTTGGTGTATGAAGAGTCCTGGTGATCCCAGAGACAGCAGCACTGCCTCACCTGGTCCACCAAGAACTCCTCTGAGAGCCGTGCCCTTACTTGGGAAATTATTTTATCTGTTGGCTCCGTCATGTTGTTATTCCCGCGTGGTCAAAATGTAAACAACAAATGCCATTTTTTTACCTTTTTAAAGTCACAAAATTAAACATATTAATGAGTCATCTTGGGAAGAAGAGTAATAAATACTTCTTTAGCTTTATATTTTAAGTAAAAATTATTTTGTTTTTATAACTCTATTTGTAGTGTCAATTATAGATCTTGTGGACTCCGGTAAGTTGTTGTACGAGTCGTCAGTGTAGACGGTCTGTACCATCTGACAAACAGCCAACGACAACATCGACGATTCCTGATAAAAGTTGACAGCAATGAAAAAGTTGACAATAGAAATACTACTGTGATGCTGCCTTTAATCACCTCATAAACTTCTTAAGTGCTGTCCACTCAAGGGTAGTTAGTCTTGGCGGTTATACAGTTGTGTGTATTAGAAGCAGGGATGTTAATGGGGGTGTACACCATGTACTTCTAACAAACCTATGTTCAGTGTTACTTAAAGTGCAGAGTGAATTGCACTTTAGTTTAAAAATCATTGGCAATTTATTTTTGATTGCTGGGGTCTTTTTATTATTGTATTATGATTATAAATTTTTTCTAATAATTTTCTTTTATCATACTTTAACATGTATGCTCTCTTGCCCCTGCATCAGCCTCCAGGTGTACAGGTACCTAGCTCCTACAACCCATATCCATCACTGGTTACAAGTTAATGTCTTATTTAGCATGGACTGTCAAAAGGACATCTCATATAAATAATAACAGACAGGCATTCAACAACTTTGAAAATTCTTGACCAAATTATACCATTCTTATTTGATTTTGTAAATACTGTACATAATGTTGTATGTAGTGATAAATAATGATATCATGCCATTTAACTATCTCATTATGTATCAATAGTAATGTAGTTGAGGCACTGTGTTCATCCATTATATATGAAGATTTATATTGATCTTATTATACCTAAAGTGATCATTGGTCCTGGTTATGTACAGTACAGTATGGGCAGTCATTCTTTCTTGTCCTGTTGTTCATCTTTTAATTAATATGTCATTTGAAAATTAAATTGATAATTATAATAAAATTAGCTTAATTTTTCTCTCCCTCCTGGGCTGTTTTGTCCAACTGTACGATAATTCTGTCCTCCAGCGTGTGATAATTCTGTCCTCCAGCGTGTGATAATTCTGTCCTCCAGCGTGTGATAATTCTGTCCTCCAGCGTGTGATAATTCTGTCCTCCAGCATGTGATAATTCTGTCCTCCAGCATGTGATAATTCTGTCCTCCAGCATGTGATAATTCTGTCCTCCAGCGTGTGATAATTCTGTCCTCCAGCATGTGATAATTCTGTCCTCCAGCATGTGATAATTCTGTCCTCCAGCGTGTGATAATTCTGTCCTCCAGCGTGTGATAATTCTGTCCTCCAGCTGTGATAATTCTGTCCTCCAGCGTGTGATAATTCTGTCCTCCAGCGTGTGATAATTCTGTCCTCCAGCGTGTGATAATTCTGTCCTCCAGCATGTGATAATTCTGTCCTCCAGCGTGTGATAATTCTGTCCTCCAGCGTGTGATAATTCTGTCCTCCAGCATGTGATAATTCATTACATGATGTCTGATTTGTCAACTGATGATTCACATTTATTGTTAAATACTGTAATAAAATACTGTTTTATAATAAATTGAATTACCTCTGTATATACTGTGCTGTATTGTGTATGAAAGTGTAAGGGGGGTTTTGAAGGTAGGAGGTATAGGTAGAATATTTAGTTGTAGGAATGTAAAGAGCGGAAGTTTGGTAGCGTGGCCGGTTTGTTACTTTCACTTATATTACGTTCTTAGGGGACATGTTCTAAACACCACTTCAATACAACTATTTATAACTCATTCAATGACACAGACACATTAATAGAACATTATATCGAAGTTACTAGAACATTATATTTACATTACTAGACACTGAATCCCGGACACAAACATAAAATGAATACACTTCCCACCGTAAGTAACTATCCTATGGATAGCTCTGACAATGACTCACGTGACCTGAGGGAGGCCCAGTGGGTGCTTCTGGACTATGTCTCCTATGGGAGACTCTGCTAGCTGGTGACGTGGGGGTCGGGAGGGAAGTCTCCCTCCCGACCTGAGGGAGGACGAGCGTGACGTGAAAGTCGTCTCAATGGAATCCGAATCAGGAATCTAATGACAAGACTGACCCATGGACGGGACTGCAGGGCCTTTATATGGAGGAGAACCAACCGGCGAATGACTTCTGCCAATTAACACTAAACTGGTTAGATCTGGACAGCTGTGTTAGCCCAGGTGCTTGGTCATGCCCTGGTGTGTCTTGGCTAGGTGTGGTTGTGGGTCATATCACCCGGCTAACTCAAGTACTTAGTGGCCAGGGTCAGGTCTCCTGGGTCACTGTAGGGTGTGTATGTGGGTTACCACGAGGGCATCTAATTACTGTTATATGTGTTGTAATTCTCTGGGCTGTAAGCTGTGGTCTGATAAACAATCATTACGCCTCCCGCCAAGACCAAAGCTCTCATACCAGAGAACTAATGACACATATAGACAGTAATATCTTGTGCAGTGTCTAAAATAGCCCCTGAGGTGATAATACAATCTCACATTTACAAACAATAATCTCATAGATACTGGCATGTATGTTTTCCACTGGTTTAGTTTGATCTGACAAAGCTTACTATACTTCTCGCGAAGATCAAAGCTTCTATGCCAGGATAAAAAACACAAACACAGTAAGTGGTCATAGTATGAGCGTAACTGAGCTAAAGATCCTACATATCTAGCATAGTATCCGAGACACACTTGCAAATCACATTCTACAAACAATGACAGGTGTTACATTGCTTTACCAGGCCGTGTCAAAATATTGATTCGTCCCAGTCAGTAATATGGCTACAACATTACGTTTGGTAGTGCAAAACATTGATCACATTAACTCATAGGAAAAGTGACTAAACATTTCTTAAACAAAAATAAAACATTCTTTGTAGTAAATGTTAACAGAAATCAGAGAATGAAATACTTCAAAATACACAAAAAATGCGCCTGCTTCACATGTTAGGGTGTTATCTCTCTTTATTATACATAAACAACAGCCATACAGTAGTGTGGTCCAGTATGGCTCACGTCCTCCATCCAGCTGATATGGGGGATGCCGGCAGCGGTAGTGGGTTGGTCCTTCTGATGATCCACCTCTTCATCGTCGACTTTCTTATGATGTCAGCACAGCATGCTTCATGTGTTCTCTCTTCACATAGCACGTCTTTCTTTCTTCAATACCGCACCTTGTAGGTCGTGTCTCCACACCTTCTGACTTCTCACTTCCTACCAGGTTTCTGTCATATTCCAGATGAGTTTTTCTAGCCTCATCTGCTTTTCTATTGTACAGCATCATTTTCATATTCCAGATAGATTTTTTCTGTTCCATCTGCGTTTCCTCTATATGTAGAGCATCATTTTCCGTCATATTCCAGATGAGTTGTTTTTTCTGTTCCATCTGCTTTCCGCTGTTCCGGCCGGGATTAAAGCTGGTCCACTGCTTGGGGTGTCATCGTCTTGGATGACGTGTAGGGCAGGGTCCGCGGACCAGGGTTCGCCCTCCTTACGTGAGTGCCGGCGAGACTCTTGACCGTCCTGTCCCACACCCTCACAGTGGTGGATCCCTCCTTGGGTGGGTTCACCAGGGTTTGTTTGTGTGGTGTTGCATTCCACACTCCTTAACTTCCTAAAGTAGAAAAATATAAAATCTTCTTAATCTTACACCAATGGAGGACTTGGAAGAAGTGAAGTGGTGTGTGGTGGGTGTAGTGCTGCATTCATGCTTCTCCTCTGCTCGTATGTGCTGTGGTTGGAGTCAATGCTTGGTCCATCGTCACCTCTTAATTGCTGTTGTGTCGTAAGGCACCGTCATCCTGGCCGATCACTGCAGACAGTTTGGACATGTGACGTCAGGTCATGCCCAAGTGAACTGGTTATCGCCAACATCTGGCTGGCCATGGGGCGGTACTGTGTGTGACATTTGATGGATTAGTTGGAAGTGCAGCCGTATAAAAAGTATTTACTTTATACGTTACGTCAATGTTTGGCAACTACGGTTTTCGTCACGACAATATTCTCATTAGGCTGGGTCGGAGAGTGAAGCTCTGCTCACTACACTGAATATTATTTATCACTACGCTTCAAAGAGTACATTACAAATTATACTAGCATAAAAATACACTAAGTGAAGCTCTGCAATTATTGCAATATTAAGTTACACTAACCGTCAATTTCAAAGCATAACTTATGGGACGAAAGACGGGGGATTAGTGAGGTCACACTGGGCGGGACGGTATGGGTGAAGCGGGGCGGGTGGAGTGGGGATTAGTGAGGTCACACGGGGTGGGGTGGTGCAGGGCGGGGTGAGGTGGGTGGAGTGGAGGTTAGGGCAGGGAGGAGGATGTAGGTTAAAAGACATGTTAGGTTATAACAGTTAGTATAGACACAGCTTCTATCACTAAAACACAATGGCTACATTTAACACTGACCGACAATTAAAATGCACTTGAGATACTGAGAACTTCACAGAATGCGGGGGACACTGAGAAATTATATTAAGCACTGAACATAGTCTGGGGAGTTATGCTAATTACAATTCGCACATACCATGATGAGAAACATTGACTCGAGCTGTAAAGGTGACACACTAGGATACTTTTTACGCTGCTACACAGGAATTCCTTATTACACACTTTTAAACAATACTCAAACCGAATTAAATGAAGGATGAGACGAGCCAGGTGAAATGGCTAAACGTGAGAAGGCGTGGGCTTACATTAAGTACACTACCACCACCAGATAACAGAAGGCTACATCACCACCACCACCAGATGACTGAGGCTACGTCACCACCACCAGATGACAGGAGGTTATATCGCCCCCACCATCAACACCAGCATACACACAGTCCCCCAGACCCCTCCAGCATACACACAGTCCCCCAGACCCCTCCAGCATACACACAGTCCCCCAGACCCCTCCAGCATACACACAGTCCCCCAGACCCCTCCAGCATACACACAGTCCCCCAGACCCCTCCAGCATACACACAGTCCCCAGACCCCTCCAGCATAAACACACAGTCCCCAGACCCCTCCAGCATACACACAGTCCCCAGACCCTTCCAGCATACACACAGTCCCCCAGACCCCTCCAGCATACACACAGTCCCCAGACCCTTCCAGTATACACACAGTCCCCCAGACCCCTCCAGGATATACACAGTCCCCAGACCCTCCAGCATATGCACACAGTCCCCAGACCCCCAGCATACACACAGTCCCTCCATACACACATTCTCCCAGACCCTTCCAGGATATACACAGTCCCCCAGACCCTCCAGCATACACACACAGTCCCCCAGACCCCTCCAGCATACACACAGTCCCCCAGACCCCTCCAGCATACACACACAGTCCCCCAGACCGCTCCCTAGAAACATATCAGGAGGCCCCCCGTCCCTGGAAAAACCCCTGGGGTCACCGCTGTCCCTGTGAGGGCCCCTCGGGTCGGCAGCGCCCCTAGATGGGCCCATGGGGGCGCTGCCGTGTCTGTGAGGGTCCCTAGGTGCGTTGCCGTCCCTGAGAGGCTCATGGAAACTAGGCTGTTTCTGGAGGAGCCCCTGAGAACGCCGCCTTCTCTGAAAAAGCCTCTACGATTGCAGTTGTCCGTAAGAGCGCCCCTGGTGGATCCAGCGCCCCTGACAGGTCCCCTGGGAGCACCGCCGACCCTGAGAGGCCCTGGGGGCGCCTCCGTGCCTGGCATGGCCAAGTGACCCTCACAAGGATAACGGCGATCCCAGGGTCCCTTACAGGGACGGGGGCGCCTTCAGGGGTGTTCTGAGGTACAGCGACGTACCGAGGGGCTCTAAATCAGCAGTGGCGCTTTCTGGGGTCCTTCCAGAGGCGGTGTCTCCCCGAGGGACCCTCTATGGGGCGCCACTGCCCACAAGGACCCTGCCAGGGGCTGTGGTGCCCTTATGGGCCCTCCTAGAGCCCGCGGCGCTGCTATGGGCCCTGCTA